TTGTCCAGTTAGCTCGTCGTGTATGATGACGGGGTATGAGTTCGGGGAGGAGCGGTTCCAGAATTCAGGTTATACAAAAACTAAATCTAAAAAATAAAATGAATGAGTGAATAACAGGGTGAGAATGGGGTAAAATCCGGAAACTTGGCAAAAATCAGACAAGGGCTTTTCTTTTTCTGGACGGCTTTTGTAAATTGTCGGTTGGGTTTAGGGAAGTAAGTGGGTTGGCAGGTCAATCGCTAAAATTGGTTGGGTTTAGGGAAAAAAGGAGAGTGGGTCAGTTGATCGGTCGGCTTATCAGTCAGTCATCCACTCATTCAGTCAGTCAGACAGACGGTCGGTCGACAGCGGCCTCTGCTGGGTTTACGCGAGAACAGCGGGCGCGAACAGCACTCGCGAGAGAAATTTGAGATACAAAAATAGCACACACAGCGATCTCTCGTGGATTCCGGAAAACAAAAACTGCAAAAATATGTACCTCCCGGGATGCATTTTGCAGTCTCCAGAAACGTCCACGGGACTACATTTTCAGAATAAGCCTGGGTTGGTTGTTTTCTACGGGATGTGAATCATGACAGTTATAGCTAATGTTAAAGCGTTATTTTATGTACAAATAGTAAATTCCTGCTAGACATTCCTTTTGTGTCAGCTGCAGGGTCGTCAGCTGGTACCACTATGCACTGATGTTTTGCCCCCTACTCAGTACACCTCGTTGGGGGGGGGTATAGGGGCAGTGGCTTAAGGAGATGTCTCCCCGCCACCCCCTGCAGCTGCCCTTAATGGAGTACCACACCCCAATTCTTGTCCCTTCTCTGTAGCCACATCCAATAACTTGCCTTCTCCGCCAGCTCTTTAGGCCATACTCACACTATGTACAGTTGCCTTGAACCGGGCCAAAGCACGCTTGTCCCCCCTCCCGTCTCCCCAGACGGCCCGCACTCACACTATAATCGGGCCATGGCACGCATACGTCATCGATGCTGCGCTGTTTAGTAAGCGCTCTCGCTCAGCACAGAAGAGGTTTCTCTAGTTATATCGTTTCAGTTGTTTGATATGCAGTGACATGCAGTCAAATATTTCGCCAAACAGTCCTCAGGGATGCAGTGACACGGAGTCAGATATTTCGCCGAACAGATCCGCCACTTTCGGCACTTATAAACAATCATAAATCCCTCATACTGCAGGAATGAGGAGGTTTGCTGAAGGTGCGCAGCTGTCGTGCAGTGAGGGGTTTGTGTATTTAATAAACTAAGGCAGTTTGTGTTTATTGAACAGTAAGATTGATAAATAAATCCATATGAAGCAGTGCCTTAAAAGTCACATCTCGCATTCAGTTTCGGGCTTTGGCATGTTTTGCAAGTGAAAAGCCCAAGTGAACCGCGCTCAGGCACACCTCTTCCAACCGGGCCAAGGTCAGCCAAGTGAATTGGCTTGAGCCCGATACAGCGCACTCACACTTCTCAAACGATCCGGGAAACAGGCCTGGGCATGGTACGGATGGCATAGTGCGAGTAGGCCCTTAATTGCTCTCCTCAGACTCATCCCAGATGCCCCAGTAGCATGGAGAAGATGAATTACTGACTTTCCAACAAATCCCCTGCACCCAACTTCTATGGGATGTACCGTCGCCGTCCAACCCTCGAATCTACATTCAGCTGCTAAGTCAGAGTTCTTGTGCCACTTGAACTCATGCGCCTCTGCCATTCCCTCCTCCCACGGCAAAGTCAGCTCAATCACCAAAACCTTCTTAGCCACTGCTGACCAAATCACTGCATCTGCTCTTAGTGTTGATTTGCTTGGTCTCAGTTGAAAAGATGATTTGAGAGTCCAAGTCAATGCACATCTCCCACCCTGTTCCAGGTGCAAGCAGGCACCTTGTTGTCACTGTACCTGTAGTCAGTCCCCTTCTCCTGGAACCTGATGTTAGGCCGAGGAGATGCTGATGTACTGTTTACTTGTACTCTGCATTTTCCAGAGGCTTTTTAGCAGCTGGTTGTGTCATCATTGAAAGCGGCCCTGCATCAAGACAGGATATGTTGCAGGTCTGCATTGGCTTTATCACACAGGGGGCATTTGTCCTCAGTTCCGAATCATTGCTAAAGATTACGAGGGCAGGGGAGGGTATCGTATGCTGCTCTTACGAGGAAGCTGTGACCATGGAGTTTGGCTAATATCTGGCCTGGTTATGGCCCTGTTAATCATGCTCCTTGCTTGCCCTGGACAACAGCCTTTATGAAATGGCGGTACTGTTCCACCGCCATAAACTTCATCTGCTCCCTTGTGGCTTTGGACCAAAACTGTGATGGGACTCCTCAAATCATCCCTGCTCTGCTGGTTTGAACTCTTCCCATTATCTCCTTGTGCTGAAGCCTGTCAATGGCTTGGTTGACCTCCTGCTGCGTCCTCCACTTGTGCCCCGTGCGGCTACTTTTGGATTCAATTCATTGACTTTACTTTAAAAATGAGAGTAAACTCGTTGCCATATAATTATTAAGAAAACAAACTATGTGTATAATTATAAAAGATTTACTGACTTTTAAATAAAATCAACTTGTAACCGTCAAGGCAACGAATTTACTCACTTTTTTTTTACAATGTGCATGAGCAACAAGTCATAATAATACCTTAGCAAATAATTAGCTAATAATTGTTTAAAGCAGATCATTGGAAGTTGAAGTACATTACTATGACTATTGTGGTAATTAACATGAATTTACATCATTAGTTAAAAAGTATATGTTAGTAGTAAATTAATGTATTAAAGATCATTTAACTAATACCAATTTATACAATTCACAAGTATGAAGTATATGCTCATGCAGCAATAATTAATAAATGGTTAAGCTCTTCCTGAGTTACACATCATGATTATCTGTGCCCACAATGTAAAGTGCCACCATATTTTTTCTCTGTGGAATTATAACAACTACTAAACAGCATTTTGCCATAAAGAGTTCCATAAGCTAATCTTATTAAAAACTTGTGCTTTTACAGGGGACAATTATCATCCCGTATCTGTCATCTTCTCTTAGAGAAGAAAGTCAGTGGAAGTTTCCACATGAGTTCAACCCTCAAAACTTCCTGAATGAAAAAGGAGAATTTGTGAAGAATGAAGCATTCATGCCTTTCTCTGCAGGTGTGTGCTACATATATCTTACTGGACAAAATAACTAGTATTTTCATAAATTAATGTGCTTGTATTGTGTTTTTGTTTGTATGATGCACATATATTTTCCTATTTTCTAGGTCCTCGTGTGTGCTTAGGAGAAAATCTAGCCCGCATGGAGCTCTTCCTCATTCTGGTCACTGTGCTGCGGAAATTTCGTCTGGTCTGGCCGAAGGATGCAGGAGAACCGGACTTCACATATATATATGGAGGGACTCAGTCATTGAAACCTTACCCTATGATTGTAGAGCTGCGGACGCCTGGAGAGACCCATGAATATGCTAACTGAACATATTTGTGTCACACTGTAAACTATCACGAAGTCGCATTTAAAGTACTATATTTAGTTAATAACGCACAAAACATTTTGGTTATAACGCACAATACACTAAAAATGTGCAAGACTATAACACGTAAACTCTGTATGATAACTTGTACTGACAATAAAAATACATTTGTTTATGTTGTTAAACTCATTTGTTTATTTGTTGAACAACTACAGCAAAATGCAATTATTTCTATCATATTTGACAATCTACATTTAATATAACTAGTTATAATGCTAGTCACTAGGAATGAACCAACCCAACTCAAAAATGACCAGTCTGTCAGATAAAGAAGAGCCGAGATTCAGAGTCAGAGTCAATAAAAGAATGTATACTGAAGATTTTCATAAAGCAGAAGCCAGCTTCAACACCTTCAAAGAGTTCATAGGCCACTCTCCTTACAATCTCAAAACAACAATTATACTGTAATGTGTCACTAACTTATAGGCCCTTTAACCTTGGTAAATTACAGTTAGAACTTTTCCAAAGATGAATGCAGAGGTGGGCTCATATTGGTTTTCAGGATAGGCTATGACAGGAGTCACGGCCCAGACAGCCACTATTAACAGCTTTGTTTGCTTTCCTGCATTAAGACCCTGCATGTTTTCTTTCTTTTTATTAATAAAAAGTCATTGCCACTCTCTAATTTAAAATGACGAAATACCTTAATTTAAAAATTACTTTATACATTACTTTATACATTTTTATATTTTCTGTGTCATTTAGTGTGGTTTATGTATGAATCAATTTCGAGAGCATCATGTGCTTATGATTGATCATGGCTGGTCCAGCATTAGTTAACATAACTGTCTCGATTTACAAGGTCATTTACAATGACTAAATGTTGTTTAGGTAAGCTGAACTAACGTGTAGCTTTTAGCTTTGCTAAATTCTTTATTGAGAATTACAAAAATATCGTCAGGCTTAGACTTAGACTAGTGTTATTAATATAGATTCTCAAGTCACTGTCCATTAAATAAAATGGTTTATAATAAAACAAAAAGTCCCCCATGGTGAAAGACAAAGTGACTTCTTGTGATAAACCAGAGACCAGGAGCAAAGTCCAAAAACAGCTGATTATTTTTAGACAATAAATGTGGGCCCACATTGACTGCACCAATCACATTTTAGATTTGGATTTATTTGTGAAATGTTCTCGCTCTGAAAAAAATTTCTGTCAGGATGTTTTGTTGTTTGGTCACTGAAATATTCATGCTGCCAAAAAAAATATGTTAATGCAGCACAAATTGGCAGTAATAAAAAAACAAGATTACAGGACAAAATAAACCTTCAGGAATATCTTTATCAAGAGTGCATTCTGGCATCGACCTATAGTGAAAGTATCATTATCTCTCCACCACAAAACTTAGCGTACATTTCCACTGTACAATCTACATTTCTTGTTCAACAAAGTTTATAAAGGTCAGCAAAGTTTAAAGGAGGAGTTTTGTGTGCATGCGTATCAGTTCTCTGTTTGTATTAAATACCAGAGTTCAGTCTGACCATCTAGAAGAGTAAGCATGTTGACTGCACTGGTTTTGTTGTGTCTAGGAGCCTTTCTTCTGTACTTGCAGCTGAGAATTCGGCGACCCAGAAACTTTCCTCCTGGACCTGCACCTGTTCCAATCTTTGGCAATTTGCTACAACTGAACCACATAAACCCAATAAAAGACTTAGACAAGGTAAGTGCATCAGAGCACCTCAAACACAATGAAAACTACAGAATTTAAAATAAGAAATGCATCCAAACATCCAAGCTTTTCTGCAGTTTGCTCAGCACTATGGATCAATCTATGGGATATACATTGGTTCAAAGCCAGCAGTGGTGTTAACAGGACAGAAAATGATTAAGGAGGCACTGATCACACAAGGGGCTGAGTTTGCCGGCAGATCAAACAAGATGATGGTCAGTCATGTAACAAGAAGCAAAGGTAATGCAGATGGAAAGCAGCAGTTACACTCACACATTTGCACTGAAGAATTTTAACAAATGTATATTAACAAACTTCCACTGCTGGGATTTAATGGCTTTCAAATGATATTTTTTGTGAGTTTAGGGGTGATCATGGCAGATTATGGAGAAAGTTGGCGTGAACATCGTCGCTTTGCTCTGACCACACTGAGGAACTTCGGCCTAGGAAAGAAAAGTATGGAGCAGAGGATTCTGGAGGAGGTCAAACATATCTGTTTACTACTGGAGGAATCTGCTGGTACATGAGACACCTTTAATATTTATATATTTGAAACATTTTTACAAGTATTATATATATGAACATGTAAATTAAAATTACAATCTTTTGTATTCCTTTTATTTAGGAAAGCCAATTGACCCTCAGCATCTATATCACCAAGCTGCCGCAAACATCATTGCCTCAATCATTTTTAGGTCACGATTCGATTATCAGGATGAATATTTTCAGACATTGATCACAACCATGGAAAAACTTACTAAAATTGCCATTGGTCCATGGGCAATGGTAAATACAATAAAAATATATACTATATACTTCACCGTTTACTCTAAATACTTTGTCTTGAGTAAGCATATGACTTCTACAAATAAACAAGATGCTATTTATAATCTTATTTACACTTATTATCTTTTTTACACTAAATGTAAATAATCACTTCTAACAATAAATAGTAAATAAATTGCAGAATGTACGGTGTTAGAAGCTGTAATGCCAACTATTTTAATAACACAAAATTATTTTATCTTGAATTGCAGCTCTATGAAATAGCACCAGTGTTGAGGATTTTCCCACTGCCATTCCATAAAGCTTTTCAGTATTTTGAGCAAATCACAAATCATGTTCTTAAAGTTGTGGAGGAACACAAGACGTCACGTGTTGCTGGGGAGCCCAGAGACTTGATTGACTGTTACTTGGAGGAGATGAACAGGGTAAGACACCCAAGTTTCTCAGGTGTGTGTTATCATATAGAAAGTTGCATGTGAGTTTAATGTCCTTTGAGTTACAATGGTTCGGGAGTAAAAGTCTTCTGTTTTTATAGAGATCAGATCAACACACCACATTTGATGAGTCGCAGATGGTCACTTTGCTGTTTGACCTGTTTATTGCTGGAACTGAAACAACCTCTAACACACTCCGCACTTTAACTCTCTATTTGATGACTTACACTCATATACAAGGTAAGGAAAATCAAACCATATGATCTCTATGATTCATTTTGATACAGTTTATAAATATGAGCATGCTGGTAAATTGCTGTGCATAAAAACTTGTATATTTATAGTATACTTTAAGTTTTTGTATATCAATATATGTAAATTAATGTATGATAATTAATGGAAAATCTATGAAACCTGTACCGGGTCCGGAGTGACATGTAAAGGCCTGTGGTGTGCCAATACTCCTTAATAAGGTACCATTTCAAAGCTTAGAATCTAAAATTTCTACATCCCTGCATTTTTTCATCATTTAGACATTTATGTAAAAAAAATTGTAATTAAAAATGTGTATCTAGTATTAAACAAAACTGCAGTTTTCTGGAGCACACTTGGCCTGAGTTATATACTTTTACAAAGCGGTTATATAAAAAAAAAAAAAACACCTAACATATTAAGTTGGCTCATTTTAGGGCAGAAACATATGCAATCGAATTTATTAGACGCCAATATTTGAAAGCTTACAATCTGTTTTATGCTGATATTCATCATCAAAATTTCAATTATTTACACTTAATTTACACATTCCACTCTCAAAAAGGCCATTTCAATATTTAAATTAGGATAACTCTTTTTTTTTTCAACTATTTTAGTCTGCTGCTGTCATCTAGTATCAAACAAAACAAATGTGCAGTTATCTACTGCACACAGAGCCTAGGTTACACACTTTCAAATAGAGGCTTTTGAACAAAACCAAAAAGAGATGAGTTTTTAGGTGGCTCAAACATGTACAATATAATTGATCACTTCAGCAGTATGTAACTTCAAAGGGGTTTCTGTTAAATGACCCTGAGATTTTGAATTTATAGCACTGTATGGAGGTATGGCAGTCAGATATTATATTTAAAAATCTTTATTACACGTTCCTTCGGATGGAATAGAATTTCATAGAACATGAACATCTTGCATAGAACCTTCATCTGTCTGCTGACATCTGCTGGAATCAAACACAATTTGAGCCCATTGAGCATAAATTTAAGTTTCTGAAAAAAGGTAACGCTTTACAATAACAGTACATAAATAATGATGTGTTAATATGTAAACTAAACGTTACTTTATTATGAACTAATGATGAGTTAATGTGTGTGCTAATCAAGAGCTAACCTTAACTACAACATGAGTCACATGAGTTCATGCGTGAATAACGGCTACCTTAATTACTTGTTAGTACATGATTGTTTGTTAACTTCTTAGACTCAACAACTATTTGAAGTTTTTCCACCTGGATTTTTCAACCCAAATTAAAAAGCTTTCCATACCCACATACAGAGGTGTAACTGCAAAATGTTGGTGTAATTTTACAAGAAACCTTTTGAAATGACAGTGTTAAAAGTGCTAAAAATTCCCAGCAAAAAAACAGGCATTTATAATAACAGTACATGAATAAAGATGTATTTATGTGTAAACTAAACATTACTTTATTATGAACTAATGATCAGTTAATGTATACGCTAATCATAAACTAACTTTAAATACAACATAGTCAGAAGAGCTCATGTGTGAATAACAGTGTAATTGTGTAATTACTTGCTAGTACATGTAATATGCTAGTACATTAATGTATTAATTAGCTAGTACATTAATGTATAAATTAGCGTTTATGTTTAAGCTAAGTGTAACCAACATGAACTCATGAGATGTTAATATATAATTATGTTGGGAATTTACTTGGAGGGGCACACTATCATTAACTCATCCTTAACTACTCATGAACTCCTGTGTTTAAACTGTTGATGTTAACAGAACAATTTTCTATTGTTATTCAGTGTAAAGATGGACGTGCATAAGGAGATCATGAGTAGCTAAGAATGGGTTAATGATGATGTGCCCCTCCAAGTAAAGTCATGGCATAATTATATATTACCAGTTCATGATGGATAAATTAAGCATGATCTAATGTGGTATTTAATACATTAATTAACATCTTCCCGAATTATATTTATTAAACTCCTATAGCAATTGTTCATGTGTTTATAAATTGTTCTTAGCATTCACAGTCTTTCAATCTCTACTTGTGTCTTTTAATGACTATTCAGAGCAATGTCAGCGGGAGATCGATGAAGTCCTTGGTGCTCGTGATCATGTCACATATGAGGACAGAAACGCCATGCATTTTGTTCAAGCAGTGATTCATGAGGGTCAGCGTGTTGCTGATATTGTTCCTCTTAGTATGTTTCACACCGCCAGAACTGACACTCAACTCCGAGGCTACAGCATCCCAAAGGTAAGATTTAATGTACTTACTATATCGTTCAACTACACACATTTCTTTGATTCCATGTTAATGTGTCTTTTATAGTTTCATTAAAAAATGTAACTAAGAACATCTTATACATGTTGTGACAAGTACATTTTTAAATGAATCTTATGAATCTTATTATTTGCCATTCGTGGACTGTAAACTTTAACTTTAAAATGTGAGATTAATTTAATTTGAGAACACATTACATTATTTAATGCACTTATAATAAGCAGACAGAAAGCAGGATGATGCAATCAGAGTGAAATATGTGTAACCCTATGAGCAAAAATCTAGCTGTGACAATATGTCAGTGCTTACTTTGCACTTTGAAGCCTAACTAACAAGCTATGAGTGTCCAGCAGTTGAAGCCACAAACCAAACTAGTTCAGCACTGACAGAATAGATGCAATGTGTGGATGTACTTGAAAACATAACCTTCTGTAGTGCATTTAGTTGTTGTTTAAAGCCATTTGGTGATTTTAGTCATCATACAGTATAACCTTCATCTTCTCATCAGTGATATGCAGTCGAAACCGTCTCTCGGTCATTGTGTGTATCCATTTTGAGCCGTCTTTGACACTTTTTAATAGCTTTGAGCAAAGATGCCCAAACTATGGCCCACGGGCCAAAGTTGGCCCATGGTAACCTTTGATTTGGCCCACCATTCCATCTGAGGAGAGAGAGAGAGAGAGAATTAAGAGAAGGAGGATGCTTTAGAGACTGTAATTTCTAATTTAATGTAACCTTTTTTTGTTTGTTTATTTGTTTATTTGTTTGTTTGTTTGATTGCTAAGCTACAAAAACAACTAACTGAAATGTGAAATGTAAATAAATCTGTTTTTTTTAATGTACGTACTGTCACCCGATGGATGGAGAACAATGCAGACATTAGTGTGCAAATGAAGGCAATGGCAGATTCTGCTTGACTAAAGTGTATTCAGCATTGTACTCCACTCTTATAACTGTTTTTTTTTTTTTTTTTTTAATAAGTTACTATTTACAATTATACAGCATTCGTTAATATGGTTTAAAGTAATGTTTTTTTTTAATTAATTTTTAAAGTTTCGGCCCATAGCTCTCAATAATATTTGGTTTTTAGCCCTTCATAGGGAACGGTTTGGGCATCCCTGCTTTTGAATGTTGAGGTTTGATTCTGTCTTATGTGATTCTTCTATGCATGATCTGACTGAGCGAGAATTACAGGACTGATTATTCTACTTATTCAACCACTATAAACAAGAGAAAATAAACAAAGTATTAACCGCAGATTGAAAGAAAGAAGTGGAGTAAAAGTAGTAAAAATGTACAGTATAGTAAAAGTAAAGTACAGTATTAGTACATACTTTTTAAACTATTTATTTAAGTAAAATTACGTAGGAAAAATACACAATTACAGTCATTTGAGTTTTTGTAAATTGTTACTTTCCTCCACTGGTGATAATTCTATAGATACTAGTCTATAGTATCACCAGTGGTGGAAAGAGTACTGAAAAGGCATACTTCAGCAATAGTACCATTACTTGCCTAAAAATGTATTGTGAGTAGAGTAAAAGTACCTGTTGTAAATATTACACAAAGTATGAGTAAAAAGTAGCCCTTTTACAAGTACTCATGAGTAGTGAGTATTATGCTGTTAAAAGTTGATGCATTTACATGTAATTTGGTGGATGTGTGTAAACGTAACATTCTGTAGTGCATTTAGTTATTGCCCAGCAGGGACACAAAGTCATAAGACGTTAATATTAGGTTAGATTTAGATTGTGATGTCAGGTGACCAAAATTCAATGTCTAGCCAGTGTCTAAGGACAACATTAATTACATCAAATGATGTTGATATTTGGTTGATTTTAGGTTGTGTTAGAAAGTGACCACAATCCAATGTCGAGCCAACATCTTACACCAACTTCCTATTGATGTCAAATACTGACATTTATTCATCAGGTATGGCAACCAAAATTCAATATCTGATACACGTCATAGTGGTAACGTCGACACAACGTCAAGCTGTAATATCATTAGACGTTAATATTTGGTTGGTTTTAGGTTGGACGTTGGACATTGACATCGCGCTGACGTTGAGTTCTGGTGTAAACCCGATTTTCATTTCCAAACAAAATGCAGCATCTCCATGACGTTAGGGTACAATTTCAATCTGACGGCATGTTGACGTCTTGTGTCTACTGGGTTTTGAAGGCCTTTTCGGTCATCATACTGTAAATAACCATCATCTTCTCATCAGTGACATGCATTTAAACCAGGGGTGCCCATACTCTGTCCTGGAGGGCCGGTGTCCTGCAAAGTTTAGTTCCAATCCCAATTAGACGCACCTTAGCTAGCTAATCAATCTCATACTAAGCTTTCTAGAAACATTGGTGCAGGTGTGTTGAGGTTTTTTGTCCGTTTTTTTTGCCCTCGAGTCCGAGTAATTTGATTTTGAGTATCTACTCATACCGAAACCCGATCCGATACTTCTATAATACAATAAAAAAAAATAAAGAAGAGCGAAGAAACAGATCCAGGATGTTCCTTATTTTTTATTTAATTCACCTTATTTTAACATTCAACAACTCTGTTAACAAAGAGGGTACAACACTGAAAACGTGATTTACATATGTTCCAGTGGGCTAGATATTAATTAACAGTCAATCAAACATCTTTACCAAAGCCTCACTACTTGACGGTTGGTCTCATGCATCCACCATGATTGTAGTTTATTTACACTTTTCACTCACATTTGTAGTTTTGATCGAATGCATGTCCAATTCCCAGTGTACTTTGGGCAATATCAGTGGTTAGAGTATGGACCGTCCTACACTTAAAATTTTGATCGGAAATGGTAAACCCTCAGGGAACCTTTGGCATACTCTTTTCAACATACTACGATTTGGGACATGTTTGTGCCATCAATCCGTCTCTTGTTTCTTTCTTTGAATTAGCAGGATTTGAACGCGAGTAACATAAGACAGTCCAGTGATGTCGTCTTGAAGATGTCTCATAACAACTTAACTGAACTATATTACACGGTCAAAAAAACTGCCTTGCTTCCATCTCCATGACACAACTTCTTCTTTCCCGGAAGTGACATCAGCATATAGCCTACTCTATGGTGAAAATTAAATTACTTAGTACAATATTTTTTTGCTATTCAATAAGTTTTGCTTTTCAGGTTATTATTAATTTAACATAAATAAAAACAATGAACTTATGGCTCTTATAGGACATACTAATTCTATTTTCAAATACTATTTAGGACAGATAGGATGCGAATTGTGATGCAGCAACACTCGCACTTTCCACTTCAAGCTTTGCAGTTTCTGTGTGGTGAAGTTGGAGGTCTGCCACCACATAAAGATAGATGTGTTAAAAATAATGAGAATATATATATATATATATATATATATATATATATATATATATATATATATATATATATATATATATATTTATATTAGTATTAATACATTAGTATTTTTTCCAGTGGAATTAAAGCTACAACTACTAAAAAGCATGTTCACCGTAAGGATTTGCTAATCTTATTAAAAACGTGTGCTTTAACAGGGGACAATTATCATCCCGTATCTGTCATCTTCTCTCAGAGAGGAAGGTCAGTGGAAGTTTCCACATGAGTTCAACCCTCAAAACTTCCTGAATGAAAAAGGAGAATTTGTGAAGAATGATGCATTCATGCCTTTCTCTGCAGGTGTGTGCTACATAGATCTTACTGGACAAAATAACTAGTATTTTCATAAATTAATGTGCTTGTATTGTGTTTTTGTTTGTATGATGCACATATATTTTCCTATTTTCTAGGTCCTCGTGTGTGCTTAGGAGAGAATCTAGCCCGCATGGAGCTCTTCCTCATTCTGGTCACTGTGCTGCGGAAATTTCGTCTGGTCTGGCCGAAGGATGCAGGAGAACCGGACTTCACATATATATATGGAGGGACTCAGTCACTGAAACCTTACCCTATGATTGTAGAGCTGCGGACGCCTGGAGAGACCCATGAATATGCTAAGTGAACATATTTGTGTCACACTGTAAACTATCACGAAGACACCATTTAAAATACTATAAAGTAGTTTATAACGCACAAAACCTTTTGCTTATAACACACAATACACTAAAATGTGACTAACATAAAAGCCATGTACAGTATGACAACTTCTACAGACAATAATGACAAAAAAACACCTTTGCATTACATGATTAAGGTCATTGTTTAATTGTGTTTGCTAATTTATGAAACTACATCACAAATGAAACAGTATTTCTATCATATTTGAAAAGCTATCAGTTAAATGCTAGTGGCTGGATCTTTAGCTGTTGTAACAGTTAGCCGCTTACAACACATTGAAAAGGTAGCAAACAAAAACCTGCTTAAATATTATTGTGCTGCTATAGTCAATTAGTCAAATGGAATTTCGTATTTATATACCTTAAGAATTCTAGCCTAAAATTAAATTTGTTAAAAATATATTTTATACTTTTTACATATGTGCATGTAACAACAAAGACTGTAACAAATCAGTTTGAAAATCAGTGAAGTTGTTCTTCAAGTTCTCATGGTGACAGCTGATCTTTTATTAATGTGTTTTGTTTGGCAGAACATGCCTCTGTAGTTCTCCATGTTTGATCAACTTCTATAATGGATTATTTTCACATTTAAATAAAGCTGCAACAAGATACAAAATACATGTTGTGCATGTTTTTCCTATTTCAGCAAATAATTTGTGGTTACATGTGCTTAAATATGTCTACAGCTAGATTTACAGGTTGTGATTGAACTTTATTTTTGTCAGTTATACATTGCATAATTTAAAAAAGTATTTAACAGACTCTTGTCTGTATTATGCTGAATATCTCTTTACATCATTTGTAACTTCAACACAGACTCTATATGTTTCTGCATAAACCAGAAGCTGCTGAGACTTTTATCCCATCATGTTACTTTTTGCCCATTATTCCCTTATAGCAAACCAATGGTAGAAGGAGCCTGGTTAGGAATATTGTGGCTAAAGCCTTCAAACTGACCTCAACTGAGAGTAACCATCAGTCCATTAGTAGAGGCAAATGGTCAGATTTTGAAGATTACCAAAACATTTTTTTTTCAGTGAATTAAAATGCATTGATTAATTGTTCACCAAAAGGATAATATTATGTGCTAGCAAAATTGTAAATTTTAATTTCTTAACAACTTAAAGTAGCTCACAGATCTTTTGGCAAGGCAATGTGCAATACAAATGTTAACATAAAGTGGCCAATTTGGTAACTAGACAACATGGTGCTAACCAAATGTGGGCCACTTACGAAAATGTGGCACAATTGACAAAGGTTAGGGCTATAACCAAATCTGGCCCATATACATTTCCGCAAAGATTGCGCAGTTATTAAAGTAGTATTAAAGCAGTGAAAAGCCTTTATTTACAATGTCATCTTATCTTGATTTATTGCTTTTACACCGTACATCTTTAAGAACTGAATAAAAGAAGAGTAAAATCCATTCAGGGTTGATGTTTTAAGCCTATTCAAGTCAGTACGAGTCCTATTCTGCTCAGAAATTTAAAAGCTTGACAAAAATCAAACACAATTTCTATATCAAACTGATTTGAGACTGGAACTGAATAAAAGGCTTGTAAATATGAATAGAATTATACATTCATCAGCTCAACCCTGGTTATTTTTGTATGTTATTTAACTAGACCAGGGCCCCGTTTCAGAAAGGAGGTTAAGTGAAAACATGGAAATGAGTGAAACTCTGAGTTTTCCATTTCAAAATGGCAGGTTTGTCAAACTGGAGAAAGCAGGGTAAGCCTGCTTCTGAAAGAGAGGTAACTTTAACTCAGAGTCAGTTACTATGGTAGCTTACTCTGTGAACCTAACCTAGTCAGGTGTAGGTTTTATTCTCTAAACTCTGAGTTTCTGTCGGTCTCCTCCCCTTTTTTTTTTTTTTTAAAGAGGAACTTGTATTTCTCGCCCTAGCCTTACATTTCCACTCACCTATTTTTATGTGCATTTTGAAGATGCACATAAAAAATGATTGATGAAAATGCCAAGATGCGCATAACTTTTGAAAACACGCATAAAAAAACATGTGCATAGCCGAGTAGGATATACTTTTATTCGTTAAGAAAAGATGCACATAAAATGCGATGGAAACACTTTTATCAAACAAATTCCAGTATGCACATTATAAAAGGTCATGTGATTTCGTTGTAAAAGATCATATGATGATGAAAATGTGTGTGAATAGACAAACCAGCAGGCTGAGCACACTGTAAAACATCTAAAATGTTGTTTTGGTCATTCTAAAATACCTGAACCGTTTCAGTATTAGTGTTATTATATCATTAATGACCTCCAGAGCTTTCAAGAGCGTCTGTGCTCCATGTCTGACGCCCTCAAACACCCCCAAGCGTTCATTGCATGTCAGCATTGTCTTCTGAGGCTCAAGTCATTTATTAAATAAAGAAAAGATTCATGCAGCTTATTCCACCTCAGTAAATTGTGTTTTTACTGTTGATATTTGGTGCCAGTTAATCTGGACATGTGGATTTTGTTCGACTTGACTCGTTGGGTGGAAATGCTGCTTTATTCACACATCTTTCACATAAAGTTGATTTGCATTTTTGGATGGAAACATAGCTATTGCCTACATTTCAGCCACACAAAGAACAAAGTCACGAGAATAGCTTGTCCTTTTTTAATGAATAATTAGCTTAAATTCCCTGACCTTTAACAGGGATATCTACTGTAACTAGAATAATGGGATTATTACTCGTCCTATAAACTATATTTTAGTTCTGCCTACATTCCAAATGTCATATCATCCTCTACCTTCTGATCAATAATAATGGCAGACACACAAGTGCAATTTTAAATCTATTATAAACTCAACTTTTGAAATATTACTGTAAAACTGATCAACGTGTGTAAAAGTGGGAGCCTTAAATTATACATTTCCACTAAACATTACGTTATGGTTATATGCATTCTTTTTTTTTGTCAAATTTGTTGTAAAAACTATGCAGTAGCCTATTTTTTGTACTGCTGCGCTGATGGTCATGGGGAGTGGAGAACATGAGTCAGATTCTAGCGACGCTCCAGGGACAGACGAGTCTTCGCTGAGGCCAGCTTCCAGCCTCCACCGCAGTGACTGAAGCTCTGCAAAAGACTTTTGGCCAGCGGAGAAATTAAAATGGTCGTGCCCAACTGAGTCTGGTTCTCTCAAGGTTTTTTTTCTTCACTCTCCTATCAGGTGAAGTTTTTTTTCCCTCTCCGCTGTCGCCACTGCCTCACATTTTTCAGGATTGGTAGAGCTACGCATTGATGAATTTGCTCTTCAGTGTTTGAACTCAGTAATGATTTTAAATCACACTGAACTGAGCTAAACTGAACTGAACTTAAACACTAAAAACTGAACTACACTGTTCCAGTTACTATGACCATTTATGTGAAGCTGCTTTGACACAATCTACATTGTAAAAGCGCTATACAAATAAAACTGAATTGAATTGAATATTTTAAATGTAAACTTACGCATTAACTTGAGCCACTGTTTTCCGCTAACTGTCTCTGTTTATTGATGCAGTGGTGTTGCTTTTTTAAATATATGCTCTTATTTGCCTTAACTTTGCATGGGCACATCAAGTTCAGCTGGAGAAATAAATGCTGATCTCTTTTTCAGATGTTGCCATGGTGACTCGTAATATCTGCACTACAATTATAATGTCTTTTTATAGTTGTGTTGTGCGCGCTTAACACAGGCTGTTTCTCAATATGCGTTCTTCAGCAATCTTACGTCTTCGTGTAATGCAAGTTCAGTTCCAAAACTCAACACCGCAAGAACAGAGGACGCATTGATGCACCAAACTCATTCTAGAAGTCCCAAAAGTCATTGCGACTAGAGGTGGGAAGCACAGCATTTATTATTAAAGTTCACAGATATTAGTTATTTTCCTCAAGAGTTTCTCTAAATCAGGGGTGTCAAACTCAATTTCTGGAGGGCCGAAGCCCTGCACAGTTCCAACCTTGCTCCAACACACTTACCTGTAGGTTTCAAACAAGCCTGAAGGACTCAATTAGTTGGATCAGGTGTGTTTAATTAGGGTTGGAACTAAACTGTGCAGAGCTGCGGCCCTTTTGGAACCGAGTTTGACACCTGTGGCTCTAAATGAAACGATGAATATAAACATTACCATGAAAATCTTAAAAAAGGAATGAACACACATTAAGGGTGTTTATTTGCTGAAATTCATATTAAAATTAGTTTATATTGTGCAACGTATGTTTGTAAAGTCTTTATGCATAGTATATATTTTGAATAGGAGAAAAACAACAAATCAGTGTATAAATGCTGTAATGTTTAAATATTTTTCCATTAAAAACATATGAAGGTCATGTGACCATTAGGAAGAATGCAGCATCTCATTTCTCAGAGGACACATTCTCTGTTCTCGCGAGTTCCTTCTTACAAGGTGAACTGGCAAGGCCGGTCTTCACAAGATCGCAAGCTGCTCTCTGCGTTCTTGGTATTAAGAAACAGCCACTGAGTTGGTCTACTTAAAGTTGATTGACCAAACTTAGATGAGCTGTTCTTGGTCCTGGAGATGTGCTGTCCTGCAGATTTTAGCTCCAACCTGTCTCAACACACTTGCAAGGATGTTTCTAGAGAGCCCAGTAAGAGCTTGATTAGCTAGGCCAGGTCTAATTGGAGTTGAAGCTAAAATATGCAGGACACTGGACCTCCAGGACCGAGATTGAGAACCCCTGAACTAGACTAATCGGACAGCATTTGACATCAACAAAATAATACAAAAATTCTACAATCAAAACTCATCCCATGAGATGGGTGGTCACAGACCAGCAAAAAGTAGCTCTTATGATGGTGAACTTTAAAGATGGACTTCGGTATTTCCATGGCTGCTGCTTTACCCATCTTGGAGGATGCAGACCACTGTTGGTTGATGATACTTTTCTTTCAGGCCAGAACCTCACTACAACTATGCTGTTTTCCAAGTGCATTAATTTTCTAGGTGAGACGATTACAGAAAATATCATTGAATTATTAAACTTTATATTTTACAAGAGAAAACATCTCAATTCTGTAGTCTACGACAGGCAATTGTTTTCAGCAACCTTGGTTTATGTTTTATTTCAATTTTATTCTGATAGTTAAAGTAAAAAAAAACACAAAACAAAAAGAGAAAACAAACAAACAAGCAGTGTCATAGTTAATAGCATTTTTACCTGGACTAACAGAATGGACAACCCCTCGTTGCAATCCAGGTTCCTCATGTGTCATTTATACTTGGGACAATGCCCTTTAGAGAAATCAGAGAAGATATTTGAATGAGCAAATGAAAAGTAAAGCCATCATTTTACACTCAAAAGCTACATTTACACTTGGTATTAAGATGCAATTTCAGATTACAAGTGGAAGACAGTAAATACAAGCCCAAACAGGATCTAAAACGTATTGAGCTTCTTCGAGCTTCTAAAGTTAAACTATTTTATGCCACTTGACCTAACACTTAATGCATATATATAAAAAGCATGCTAGGGTATATACATTCTGGACAAAGAGTTGACAGGAACCGAAATTTCTGACATGAAACAATCAGGAAATAATGACAACAAATTACACATTTGCAGTTATTTTAAGCAAAAAAAACAAACCTTTTGGAACTATCTGTTTAACGTTCCACTTAATTCCTCTGTGTTGAAAAATCTTATTTCTAGCAGATGTGCTTCAGGTGTAAGGCTCACTCTTCCATTCTTTTACTGAGGCAGTTTGAACAGACCTATGCAATATTAAACATGAAAAAAACAATCAAACTTTTATATATAAACTTATTTTATTAAATCATATAAGATGTTGAATTATATAAAGTATTTAGACCCCCTTAAATTTTTCACTCTTTGTTATATTGCAGCCATTTGCTAAAATCATTTAAGTTGTTTTTTTTCTTCATTAATGTACACAAAGCAGACCATGTTGACAAAAAAAAAAACACAGAATTGTTGACATTTTTGCAGATTTATTAAAAATGTCCATGGTGTTTAGACTTACTTTTCATTGTCCTCTTCCTTAACATTAGGCTCACAGAAGTCTGACAGGTCTTTCGAGGTGCACTCTGAGTTCTCACTGAATGTGGACACTTCTATCCTTGGTCTTTTAATTGGTGTTGATGTGAAACATGAAGGTGCAGAATTGGCATCAGAAAACGAGGTGTCAACCGGCTGCAACCAGCAAGGCTTCACTTGAACCCCTAAAATTTTCAACAAACACAAATGACAATCAAACTCATGGAACACAACATTTTTTAAACAAATATGAAGATTAACATGGCTAGTAGCAGGCTTTACCTTTACTCCGTACTTTCTGCTTTTGTTTTTCCGTGCGGACTGACACACTCTTCACATTTGGAGGATCACACTGACAGGCCACATCTCTTGTTAGGGGCTTTAGAACATGAATAACAGCATGCAAAATAAATACAAGTAAAACTACATAAGAGAGAATTAAGTGTGACTGACAACTTTTGATTTCAGCTTGGAGTAAGAATTATTCACACAAACTCTTTCATCTTTATCCATTCATTCAGTTTTTATTTCTCCCTCACAATACAAACACCATTAACGCTAAAATATCTATCTATCTATTGTTTTTTTACTTTCGGAAATGGTGCTGCTAATGGATGCCATGACATGCAGATGTTGAGGATGCTTTTAAGGTCCGAAGCTGCCTGCTAGTTCCACTTACCTTCAATGTATGGGAAGCACCAACCGTGTATACTGACGGGACAGCGTTTTCAGTCAACGACAGAAACTTCACAAAGCCCATTTTGTGCCGTGTCCAGTTTTTGAAGGAATCTTGTGTAAAGTGTTTCGAGCACAGCCGAGAACTCTCTGATATCGCGCCTTCTTCAAAATGCAAAAAGTCGAGCCATCGAGACCGCAACCACGGTATTTTAGGGAATGTGAAAAGAGTTTCGGGAGAGCCACAACCTAACACACACCTCCTCGACATCTCTGTTTTGATATCTGTCTAACTTTGCTTTCTTCCTTATTTCTTCTTCCTCCTCCTCCTTCTTCTTCTTTATTTGGAACAGCAGCTGGCATTAAAATGCATTACTGCCATCTGCTGTATTCGTTTAAACTTCGTTCTTCCAGTCTTGTCCCAACTAAACACAACTTATGTTCTTTGGCCTCCACTCGGGGGCACTGCAGATGTTGGACCATATGCACAATTTTTAAGTGGGTCCCTCTATTTATAAGTAAAACCCAGGGGTCTCCCGTCGCAGGGCCCCTAATATAGTGCCATGGCCCTATGCACTATGCACCCTGTCCCCCTTTTCCCTCACTAGCTACACCCCTGCCTCCACGTATAGCCTACATTCCATTACTTTTTAGATACTCTATGTGCCCATTTCTCATGAATGTGTGTGTGCATGGATGTTTCCCAGTGATGGGTTGCAGCGGTAAAACATGCTGGATAAGTTGGTGGTTCATTCCGCTGTGGCGACCCCTGATTAATAAAGGGACTAAGCTAAAATAAAAATGAATGAATAAATGATCCAAAATAGGCCTACTGTAAAATCAGTGCATTTTTTTTGAAGCGTTTTGTCTGAAATAATGTTATGAGCATGTCGCTATATATATTTATATTTCTAATTCTCCATATTGCATTATTTTTAATCTTTAAATCTAAAAATAATTTGCATAAAACAATATGATTAATCACAACAAATTAACATATATTAATTTCTGACGCAGTGATGACTGGAAAAGGATGATTTATGTGACGTACACATTCCCCACCATATTATTTGGAAATTATTTTATTATTTTTAGAGTTTTTATATATCCCTGCATGGGCCCTGCTGAAAAAACCAGCAAAGACCAGCATGATTTTCATGCTGGTCTATGCTGGTCAATGCTGGTTTAGCTGGTCTACCAGCTTGGTCTTGCTGGTGATGCTGGTAGACCAGCTTGGTTTTGCTGGTTGACCAGCTTGGTCTTGCTGGTAGACCAGCTTGGTCTTGCTGGTGATGCTGGTGGACCAGATTGGTCTGCTGGTGATGCTGGTAGATCAGCTTGGTCTTGCTGGTGATGCTGGTAGACCAGCTTGGTCTTGCTGGTGAAGCTGGTAGATAAGCTTGGTCTTGCTGGTAGACCAGCTTCGGCTTGCTGGTCAGGCTAGTCTACCAGCTTGGTCTTGCTGGTCATGCTGGTCTACTAGATTGGTCTTGCTGGTTATGCTGGTAGACCAGCTTCGGCTTGCTGGTCATGCTTGTCTTCCAGCTTAGTATTGCTGGTGATGCTGGTCTATGTTTGGTGGACCAGCAAGACAAAACTACCACCCAGATAGCATACAGTTCTGGGCCACATCTGGGCCAACTAAGGCACATATGGCTCACTTCTGGCAATGGCAGGAGACATATGGGCCAGATGTGGCCCGTATGTGTCACACCTGGTGTAGTGTGAGTTGTGGCCTGCTGTATGTGGGCCAGATGTGGCCCATGTGTGACACCCTGGGTGTAGTGTGAGTTGTGGCCTGCCGTATGTGGGCCAGATATGGCCCGTGTGTGTCACACCGGGTGTAGTGTGAGTTCTGGCCTACCGTATGTGGGCCAGATATGGCCCGTGTGTGACACACCGGGTGTAGTGTGAGTTGTGGCCTGCTGTATGTGGGCCAGATGTGGCCCGTGTGTGACACATCGGGTGTAGTGCGTGTTGTGTATTTTTAGTTCCGGTTTAACTTTAAATTAACGGGAGCCTTTGAAGTGGTTACAAATTATTAGAAATTGAAAATCAAAGTTTATTTGTCTTTCTAAGTCTGTACACTTTCGTTTTATGAAGTAGAAAATAGAAAATAAATATTGTAAATTAATGTAATGTGATGCAAGGATTTACATTTTTCCGATTGGCTACTTCTGCCTGTGGACTGCATACCTAATGAGTGGGAGGGGCTTTTCTCTCAAACAATACACAGACTCTGATGTGAAGCAGCAGCAGTTCTGTGTTTCCTGTGTTTTATTAACATTTTTGTCCCTCATCAGGCAGTGAGAGCGCTACACCTTCTCTGAAAATAATAACATTGCATGTTCTAAATAAGACTTTCTAAAATTGAAAATGATTCTTTAGGTTATTAAGAATAGGAATAAGCTATTGCTTATCCGGGAAAGTATATGTTTGTAACCTTATCACATATTAATTCACTTTATTTCCTCATTAATGGATTTATTTTTATTTTTAAGGCTGCTATGAATATAAATTTATATTATCTGTTATATGTAAATGTTCCAGCATGAGTAAAATTCATTTTTCTTTTTTTCATATTACCTGGTATGTCTATAAATGTCTATAAATGCAATGAGTTTTATCATTTATTATGTTTTGATCCATTAATGTTTTGTTCAGTTCCATTTGAATGAATTAAGACAGTGTCCTACCGCCACCTACTGGGTGGATTTAATTTGCTATTAGTACTACTTTTTAATGAACAATTTTACAAATGAATTCTAATAATGCTGAATTAAAGTGCTGTTTTCTTGGTGTTATTTTTTGCAATTCTAAATTTTTATGATGAATTTGTTTGATTAAATGCCACATACAACATTGTTCTTTTTTATTTAATTTGAATATTAAATAGACATAAATGTTTTGTTAATGAATAAAACAACTATATAGAAAAAAATGTCAGAGAACTGAGCAGTAGAATGTGAGTAACATGAATGTGTTCGTAAATAAGCTGATTTTTGTAAACAAAACAAAGTTTTATTTACTTATTCTACAGAACACAAAAAATAATAAAAATAAATCTGACCAATTTTAATGAGCACACCTAACCCCGCTCCTAACCCGACCCCTCACTTTGATGTCACTAGCTCTATTTGAGTGCATTGTTTCTGACATTGCATGTCAAACTGTGTGTCTCAGCTTGCATATGCAAGTCTGCAATCAGATACTAATACTTCTTCAACACAGCCCTGAGGGTACAATCCTCAGTGCAGGGAAACACCACACATTATCTTAATCACAAACTACAGCAAATTTAGTTTATCCAAAATTCACTTATACTGCAAATTTTTGCACTATGGAAGAAACTGGAAACCAACAGAAACAACATGCAAACTTAACATAGAAAGGCCCAAAAGTCTATCCTGGTTCTGTGTGTGTGCACCTGTAACAGCGTCAACAAATTTTATAGACAATATGCTATCAATAAGCATGTTAATTAGCAATTAGTTGATTGTAAATATATCTTAAAGTGTTATAGTTTTTATATAACAAGCTACTGAATAATAAAAATAACAGTAAATTACAGCATGTTACATAACAGAGCAAGGACATGTTCACAGTATGTCTGATAATATTTTTTCTTCTGGAGAAAGTCTTCAACTAGAATAAAAGCAGTTTTTAATTTTTTTAAAGTGTTTTAAGGTCAAAATTATTAACCCCTTTAAGCTATATATTTTTTCGACAGTTTCAGAACAAATCATTGTTATAAAATAACTTGCCTAATTACCCTTACCCTAATATATATATTTATTTATTTATTCATTTAAAAAAATAATCATAAACTGCCCCCTGGTGGCGAATATGTGTTTCGCTTCATCCTTGCATTACGGTGGAGTGGGCGGAGCCTCGTGAATGACGGTTAAGTTTTTCAAACGAGGAAGTGAAGTCAAGTCCGCCATTTCATCTTCTTCTTTTTATCGGGTAAGTTATTATTTTAAAATCATATTTGTGAGATATTTGTCGTCAGGTAATGTTTTTATTAGTTAGAAAAGCCCCTGTTTTGAATAGTGATAAAACTGTTACTTATACGTGGATAATATGGCTAAAAACGGTTAAGAATGATGGCAGCCGTCAGTTCCGTAATCTGTTAACGTTAAGTTGATTGTGCTCGGGGTTTTAACAAATTAATTTAAGTTACATTTGTCCTTTTATTCGCTCGTCATTCCCAATTAAATGATCAATAAGACGTGTTATATGAAGAACAGCGTCGAAATGGGAGCTTGAATGAATGAATCATATGCTGTCCGTTTTATACAGTTGTAATTGGTGCCGAGTTCTGCTTTTGTACTGGTTTTAGCTCAAACACTGAACGAACAGTCTCTTTTTAGTAACGTTAATCCTAATGATCTTGATTTGCTTGTTAATGTGTGTTTTATCAAGTTTCAGCAAACGTTTGCAGAGTAACGTTATGTGGTTCATGCTGGCCACTGTTGAGACTGGTCTGCATTAAAAAATGTTTAAAGCCAAAACGTTTGAAAAAAAAATCCACAGTTGAAACATAATGTGTTAAATGACTTATGAAGGAAATTAATTAGCTAAAAAAGAAGGCTAAGTGTGTTATGAAATATTAAACCTTGTTAAAAAATAAAATCAATTGTGTTAAATAAGCTTAAAATCCATATCTTATGTTTTATATTACTTTAAAACAGCCTGGAAACTGAATTGCACCATTAATCTTGTACATATGTATCAAGTCCAAACAAATGGTTTTGTGGCAAGTAAAAATAATATTTTTATAAATTGATTGTATTGTATTAATTTGTTAAAGAAAAGAAAGGAATCATGCAAGGATGCAAGCTGAAGGAAAGGACAACTCTCACATCAGTGCATTACTAATTGTTTGACTTCATCATCAAGCACACCAGGTACAATATTGTACATATTTTGTAGCTTGTATATGTCAGACTGGTTGTTGGGAACTGAAATAATATATTTTATGTTTTATTTATTATTAAAATATTACAAGATTTATTGCTGCTATTTTATCACTGTGTGAGGTCATAGCTTATTTAAAATATCTATTATTAAAAAAATCAAATTTGAAAGAAAGTCTAAATGTTTCCACAAGGTACCTTATTGAATTGTTTTCTGAAAATGTAAAATTTGAAAGTATTGGTGAGCTGGAAAAACACAGTCTGTTGACGTAACTTTTATTTTTATGTTAACTTTTTATTTTATGTTAAAAGTAGATTAATTTACCTTGGATCGCATGTTTAAGTTATAATTTCAGAGTGAAAAATGTAAAAGAAAACCATTGAAAACAATGGCATAATGATTTTGCTTGTTCACAAGAGGTACTTGATTTATTTTTCCTGTAGTGATACATAAGTTTTTAAGACTAATGCTTGACACTTAAATTTTAAAGGGATAGTTCACCCAAAAATAATGACATCTTTTATCCTCCACTTGTTTCAAAATATTTTTTTTGTTCTGTTTAACATAAACTCAGGTGGTGCGGTGCACAGTGGATAGCTCTGTTGCCTCCCAGCAAAAATGTTTCTGGTTCGAGCCTCGGCTGGGTCAGTTGGCATTTCTGTGTGAAGTTTGTATGTTCTCCCCGTGTTGGCGTGGGTTTCCTCCGGGTGCTCCTGTTTCCCCCACAAGACATGCGGTACAGGTGAATTGGGTAAGCTAAATTGGGTAAGCTAAATTGTCCTTAGTGAATGTGTGTAAATGAGAGTGTATGGGTTTTTTCCAGTGATGTGTTGCAGCTGGAAGAGTATCTGCTGCGTAAAACATGCTGGATAAGTTGACTGTTCATTCCACTGTGGTGACCCCAGATTAATAAAGGGATGAAGCTGAAAAAAAATGAATGAACACAAACCCAGTTTTTCCTACTATGTTAATCAATAGTTACAGGTTTCTAACATTCTTCATAATATCTGCTTTAGTGTTTAACAGATTCAAACTGATTTGAAACAAGTAGAGGATGAATAAATGGTGGCAGAATAGTAAACTATATCTTTAAATGTTTTATTCTGTATGTTATGTGTATTCATATTTGTCTTGTCTTTTGTCATATTGTCCTTTTAGCTCAGATTGTGATGGACCTGGAATGCGACACCAGTTACTCTTAAAGCCTGATTTATACTTCTGCGTCAGGGGACCGGCGTAACCAACGGCGCATGCAACGCGCGTGGCTGTGCATTTATACTTCTGCGCGCTGTCTCTGTTGGTCTGCATTAACACTTCCGAAACGCTAGTTGGCAGTGAGGTGTAAATGTTCCTCTGTGTCGAGTTTCTTCGCTACTTTTTTGCTTTTCCTGAACACTTCCGGGATGTAAAAGTGGCTCAAACTCGCTTATTTTGAGGCAGGAACCGGTGGACGTACAACAAATTTAACTATGAGGTAAACACAAAACAAAACTTTCCATCCGGAGCTCCTTCTCGGTACTCCACACTTGTAAACAATCGCTCGCTTACATTCGCGCTGCTCTCGGTCCCGCCCAGACTCGTCAGCGCTACCAAGCCGACCAATCACAGAGCTTACGCTAGGCGTCGTTGCGACGTGTAGTTAAATTTTTTGAGAAGTGCACATCAGTGACGGCGACGGCCACATCGAAGGGCTATGCGTCAGCGCCATAGCATACGCCGGCGTTTGACGCAGAAGTATAAATCAGCCTTAAGTCAAGAACCAAATGAAGCACCAGAGTACAGATTATGGAGGTATCTGAAGTTGAACTAACTGGAAGCAGGGAACCATACTAATAAAGTTCCTTAAGGTAAAAGCACCTGCTTTATTTTGATAGGAAGTATTTTTTTATAGAGTTCTATTGTTTTATTCTTATTCTAATTTTATTTTCTTCATATACTGAATGGAAGTCATTCAAATTTCACAACAAATGATTTGCAGATTGAATATAAAATATAATGACATTTTAATGCATTATTTCTTTTGGTTATTCTTTACATCTATATATGGGCAAGTATTTAATCAATGAAAATAATTTTTAACAACTTACCTAAACAAATTACTCTGTTGGACCCTAGCAAAATCCTCAAACTAACACACACTCTTGTGAATGCATTCTCACATTCATACACTCTAAAACACACATTCATACAACAGTCTGTCTCAGTCTGACTCACACACAACATCCTCTCTCACAGATTTTTCTAGCAAACCTCCACCACTAGCTTGTCCTTTTATGCTGCTTTTATTTCAAACATTTTATAGCATGATATAGTCCAGGTTTTTATCACTAAGTATTTTTTTTTCCATTCAGCAGTTTCCTTGTAAAGATGAACCCAGGGAAGGATCGAAAGTGGAGAAGACCAGATCAAGAAAGACTACATCAAGATCTGCGGTCAGTTCAAAGGTACTTTCACTAATTACCAAGATTTCAGACTATGAATTGATGGAGAAAACTTTGAGTGTCAGATCTTCCTACATCGCCTAGCAAAAATTCTTCCCAGTGTCTTGTAGTAGAAGTGATGCAGTCAATCGAGTTTACATTATTTCGTAAATTGCTTTCTGATTTAATAAAAAATATATTAACCAAATTTGATTAATGTAACAATTTTGATGAAAAGGGCATGTTTTACTAAAGCTTTTAGCACAAAGGCACCCCCAACTTGGAATATTGCTGTGTCTGACGTCACGGGGTTGGTATGCTGGAAAAGTTTTTGAATGAGGTATTTGTATGATTTTTACATAGTCTGTCTTAAAGCGTCACTAAATTGTACAGGCATTACAGGTCAAAGCAATCTGTTGTTACATTTATCAAAATAAACAATAAGGCTCTTAAAACACTGCTTTGAAAAATGTAGAAAATGTAAAAAAAAAATTTCAAATATTTTATAATATTAATAATATTATAAGGAAGTATAAAACCTTCCTAAGCTTGAAAATATACTAAACTTCCTTAAAGGAAATAAACTTCCTTTGTTAGTGCAAATTCCTTTTTATGTAGTCTTGTAATTAAACAATTAAACCATTCAAACAAGTTTACACTTAAAAAAGGTCCGTAATAAAAATCCAATTTTTTTTTTCCAAATGTAACTAGCTAAAATAGTACCATGTACTTTTACTCTGTATTAGTATTATTTACTAAAATCTGTTTTATTTTAGCAATATAATAGTATTTCTAGTCCTTTAATTTAATGTAATTTAATTTTCAGTTCTCTTTCCATCTACAAAAACATTAAAAAAATAATTTCACAAGCACATTTAAAATAGGTTTAATACCATGAAATATTATATTAATATTATTTTTTATTTTTTATAAATCGATAGGTAGTTCCTATGGAATGTTTTTATGTATTGCTGAGAATACATTTCAGGTGTTCAATACGTTGCTTGTCAGTCTTAAAAATAAAAATAGGTGCTTAAAAAAGTGCTTAAAAGTCCTTAATTTTAATCGAGTTGTGCCTGTATGTACTCTGCAAACAGCACCTTTTAATTGTTGTCTTCTCCGATTTTCAGGATGTTTTGCATTGGACTGTTTTTTTTGGCTTTGACCCTTGCTTGCCCCTGACCTCACTCTTGGACTGCCCTGTTGGATTTTCAGTTTATTTAATTAAAAAAAAAAATTTTGGTTCTGGGTAGATGCTAATAAATATTTAATTGTAATTATTTAATGTAAATCAAAGGCGGCAACACCAAGGCTCCAAAAATACAAATTAAAATTAAATTAAAAAGGCTGACACAGAGCGTGTAACGTTTCGAGCCGCCGGCTCTTCATCAGACAAATTCTTTTTCGTTGTAATTTTTTAAATAATATGTTTTTGTTAAATATTCGATTTCTGTGTTTGTTCTGTCTACTCGTACTTGTTTATCTTGTCTCTGTAATTATCATTTGTTAATTTAATTAATATGCATTTTATAAAAAAAAAATATATATATATATTTTCTGTGTTTTTTTTTCTGTATCTATTTATCTAATTTGTATATACATTTGTGTTTGTATGTTCTTCTTATTCTGTATATCCACTTACCTAATTTTAACTTTTATATTTATTTATTTGCATTTAATTTGTGATAATTCTGTATGCATTTATTTATCTAATTCATATATTTATATGTATTGCATTGATCAATCTGTTGTTGTTTTTTTTTGTATGCATCTATTAATATAATTTATATAAATTCTATATTTGTATTTATCAATTTATATGCTTCCTTTAAAGCAATTTTTTAAATAAAGCAATTTAAACTAAGCATTCCTTTTAATGTGATTTATATAGCTACCAAATGTAGATGTCAGCCCCATCTAACCCAAAAGTCAGCCGCAACTGAACAAGATCTGGGCCAGATCTGTGAAATTGCATGGGCCGCATCTGGGCCAGATCTGAGAAACTGCATGGGCCGCAGCTGGGCCAGATTTCAGAATTTGCATGGGCCGCAGCTGGGCCAGATCTAAGAAAATGTATGGGCCACATCTGGCCCAGATATGGACCAAGCTTTTTCTGAGATATGGCCCAGATCTGGTTCAGTTGTGGCTGACTTTTGGATCCTTATGACAGCCACAATCAGGTTGAGTCAATGCCGTCATTCCGCGCGGTATGTGGGCCATATCTGGGCCAGATGTAATTTGCTATCAGTGACCAGCATGGTATTGCTGGTCACTATCAGCGCCAGCATCCCAGCTGCATCTCATGCTGGTGACCAGCATCCCAGCACCAGCATTCCATGCTGGTCATCAGCATAGCACCCAAATCCCAGCAAGACCAGTATATGTTGTGTTTTGGTGCTGGTGACCAGCATGGGATTGCTGGTCACTAGCATACCAGCGCCAGCATCCCAGCAGCATCTCATACTGGTGACCAGTATCCCAGCACCAGCATTTCATGCTGGTCACCAGCATAGCACCCAAATCCCAGCAAGACCAGCATATGTTGTGTTTTGGTGCTGGTGACCAGCATGGGATTGCTGGTCACTAGCATATTACCAGCGCCAGCATCCCAGCAGCATCTCATACTGGTGACCAGCATCCCAGCACCAGCATAGCACCCAAATCCCAGCAAGACCAGCATATGTTGTGTTTTGGTGCTGGTGACCAGCATGGGATGCTGGTGACCAGCATGGGATTGCTGGTCACTAGCATACCAGCGCCAGCATCCCAGCAGCATCTCATACTGGTGACCAGCATCCCAGCACCAGCATTTCATGCTGGTCACCAGCATAGCATCCAAATCCCAGCAAGACCAGCATATGTTGTGTTTTGGTGCTGGTGACCAGCATGGGATGCTGGTGACCAGCATGGGATTGCTGGTCACTAGCATATTACCAGCGCCAGCATCCCAGCAGCATCTCATACTGGTGACCAGCATCCCAGCACCAGCATAGCACCCAAATCCCAGCAAGACCAGCATATGTTGTGTTTTGGTGCTGGTGACCAGCAAGGGATGCTGGTGACCAGCATGGGATTGCTGGTCACTAGCATACCAGCGCCAGCATCCCAGCAGCATCTCATACTGGTGACCAGCATCCCAGCACCAGCAATTCATGCTGGTCACCAGCATAGCACCCAAATCCCAGCAAGACCAGCATATGTTGTGTTTTGGTGCTGGTGACCAGCATGGGATGCTGGTGACCAGCATGGGATTGCTGGTCACTAGCATACCAGCGCCAGCATCCCAGCAGCATTTCATACTGGTGACCAGCATCCCAGCACCAGCATTTCATGCTGGTCACCAGCATAGCACCCAAATCCCAGCAAGACCAGCATATGTTGTGTTTTGGTGCTGGTGACCAGCATGGGATGCTGGTGCTTGTATGCTGGCCACCAGCATAGCAGCAGCATCCTATGCTGGTCACCAGCATCACAGCACCAGCATCCCATGCTGGTCACCAGCATAATACCAGCATCACAGCACCAGCATCCCATGGTCACCACAGCATAACACCAGCATCCCATGCTGGTCACCAGCATAGCACCAGCATCTCATGCTGGTCATCACAGCATTACACCAGCATCACAGCACCAGCATCCCATGCTGGTTATCAGCATACCAGCACCAGCATCCCATGCTGGTCACCAGCATACCAGCACCAAAACACAACATATGCTGGTCTTGCTGGTGACCAGCAATGCTGGTCTATGCTGGTTTTTTCAGCAGGGGGGGACAATATACCCTAAAAACATTTTATTGACAGTGGCCAAAAGTATTTAACCTTAAAATAAAGTAATGTCAAGAATAATCGTGAGGTTAGCTATAATCAAATTACTTCAAAATCAAAGACTGTAAATCAGGTCTTAGATCAGAGAAACTATTCAATATAGAGACAAACATTGTTTAGAAAAGTATTGCGGCAGTTTTGTGTTTAAAAAAATACCAAAATGCCTGCGACGCCCTTGAAAACTTTTTTTAAGGTTGCTCTCAGTAATTTAACCGATATATTGAAGGTACAAGCAAGTTATTTTCAAATTGAATGGCTTGACATCTTGACCCAGTCCTGTACGGACATCAAATTAACACAAGATGGCGCCAAGTCCAGTTTATTGCATCTGTTACGCATTTCGCAAGCGCCGGAAACGTGCTCTCGAACGCTGATGTGTTATTTTGCTTTGGTAGTTATTTAGTTTTAGGTATTATTCTTTAAAAACTAGATGCTGTTAGACTTTTAGAAACCTAAAGGGAAAACTGTTATCCGGTGAAGAACAGTTGCACAAGAAGGAGAACTCAGAGGAGATGGCGGTATGTGTCAAGATTATAGATTATGATTTATAACGGCATCTTTGGAGTTAATTCATGTGATAATTGCATGTTGTAACTAGAAAGTGTATGGTTTACTTCGTATTAATGATGTAAATATGTGCTATTTCTCCGTTAGCCGAAAGGAAAAGTTGGAACCAAAGGCAAAAAACAAATCCACGAGGAAAACCAGGATACTCTCAAGTTCTACAGCAGGATCATCCTGGGAGCAAATGTAAGGCAAACCTAATAAGAAGTCATACATGTAAATATGAGCTGATTCTTTTTTTCTAATGTGTCATTTTATACTTCAATGAATTGAATTGCTTGTGTTCTCTTCAGGCTATTTATATAGCAGTCAATCTCTTGCTGTTTTACAACTCCAGTTCATTTTGGACATGGGTACGTAAATAAAAGCATTCCTGCTTACATGATAACCCTCTTAAGTTTATCCTAGAAATTATTTTGCAGCATCTTTGAAAATGTAACAATTTAATATGTAGTGTTTAATGTAATAACACTTGTCAGTGTGTTATTTCAAAAGTTCATCCAAAAAAGAAAATCATTTACTCATCCTCCACTTTTTTTCCAAACCTGTTGAGTTTTTTTCTTCTTCTGTTAAACACAAATAATAACTTATTGATGAATATTGGAAAGCAGCAGCCATTGACTTTTATTAATGTTTTTACTATTGATGTCAATGACTGATGGTTTCCACAAAATGTATTTTCCACAAAATAGTTCACCACAAAGTGTACTCGCTATTTACTCACCCTGAAATGTTTCCAAACCTCAATGTTTCTGAAAGCTGAACGCCTGTAAACATTTACTTCTATAGTAGGAAAAGCAAACATTATGGAAGTAAAAATGTTTTTTCAAAAAAATTAAACCTGAATTGTTTAAAATTTGCTTGTATTCTGCAGTGTTTGAGATGTATTGAGTAAGGTACCCGATTACTTTTTATACTTTTATGTTGGTCTAAATTCTTTTAGGTTTGCATTTCCGTCTTCATAGCTTTACATTTATTACTATTATTCAATGATATATTTTTCAATGTGTTAACTTATTGCAAGTAAGAAATTTGCAATGATCAAACAATTTTCTTTTTTGCCAAAATTTAAAAAAATAAAATAATTGTCCACAACTACTTTATTTTAAATCTAAAAGTTTAGTTCAAAATCAAAATCAAATACCTTGACAGTGACTTGCTTCACCAAAGCTAAGATTTGACTTGCACATATCTGACTTAACCCCACGTCTGCTGTGTATGTACTCATTCTCAAGTGGTTCAAAATCTGAGTTTATTTCTTCTGTTGAACACAAAAGAAGATATATTGCGGAAAGCTGAAAACTTGTAACCATTGACTTCCATAGCAGAAAAAACAGCCTCTATGGAAGCCAATGGTTACAGGTTTCCAGCATTCTTAAAAATATCTTCTTTTGTGTTTAACGAAAGATAGCAATTCAAAAATGTTTGAAACAAGGAGTAAATGATGACAGAATTTAGGGTGGTGAACCATCCCTTAAAAAAGCTACAATGATTTTTGCATCACTGAATGTGAGGCTTTTATGCCAACAGAGATATGATGGACTCTTGTTGGGTTCCAGCATTTTGATAAATCTTTTTGACTATTCTTATTGCAGTCTGGTGCTTAATTCTGCTTTATCTCTTTTGTATCAGTTCTCACTCATGTTTGCAGTGGCGGTCTACGTTGGCAGCTACAGATCTATGTCAGCAATGGCCAAACCTGCATTTGCTGAAGACGGTAGCTTGCTGGATGGAGGCATTGACCTTAATATGGAACAGGGCATGGCAGAGTGAGTTAGACATTTTGTCTTTATATTAATGTCCTGTTAGACAAAAGCAATGAGCAGACCGAAGATCTCATTGAAAATGTTTATTTAGCATCAGTTCAAAAGCATGTTGAACCTCAAACATTCTCAGCTCAATCATTCTATACTGTTCTAGTTTCATTCATTCGTTTTCCTTCAGTTTAATCTCTGATTTATCAGACCACAGTGGAATGAACTGCCAACTATTCTAGCCAGTTGCAGTTATAGTTTAAATGGCACCCTGGGCAAACCGCCCCATTTACACCCTCCCCCCAAAAATAAAGGAGACTTTTTATTACTCCCATTGGAACACATGTAATTGTCTCAAACAAACAAACTGAAAATTTTAATATATTTAATACATCTGGACCTTTTTTTGCTGCAAAGGCATCAATTATATTGTTATGGAGCCCATTAGGGTACCAAACCAAACCTTGTGTTTGTTTTGCTAGACACAAAGCTCTACTGGGCAAATAAATCGAGTAAAGTAAATCAAGTAAATCGTATACCAAAGCTATTACTGGTGCAGGACACTGGCCCTCCAAAACCTAGTCTGGACATCCCTGATTTAGTGCATGTCTTTGGACTGTGGGGAAAACCGGAGCACCCAGAGAAGCCCATGCCAACACAGAGAGAACATGCAAACCCCACACAAAAGTGCCAACAGGCCTTGCCAGGACTCAAACCAGCAACCTTCTTGCTGTGTTGCCACCGTGCTGCCCTATTCTAGTATACTAACCTTAATATTAATGAAGTTTCCCTTGTTGTCAAAGCTGTGCTCTCTGTATGCTAATACCTTTTCCATTGATGGTTCTCCATGTCCCCTACACATTCCCATTCTATAACTAATTACTCCACATGGTGAAGAGACATCAAAACTGTTAACTTCATCTTCTGAAATAATTAAACCATTTTAGGACACTTTAGGACTAAAGTTTCTTACAGTTCATATGCACGTATTAGTGTTCAAAATCTCCCCCAACTAATAAGAAAATACACAAAGCAATGTGGCATTTGCAGATATTTAATTTATGGATAAGCAAGGATTATGAATAAACAATTTAGTCTATTTTCTTTTTTAGTGAATGCTGATATTATTTTGTTTGTATTTATTTATGTGTTTCTGACTTTGTGCAGGACAATGCAATAGTTTATTATATAAATAGTTCTCTTAATCAGAAGTGACTTCTTTTTTTTTTGTACAATGACATGTAGGCACCTAAAGGATGTCATTCTTCTTACTGCAATTGTCCAGGTGCTTAGCACTCTGTCATCCTACTTCTGGTACCTTTGGCTTCTGGTGAGACTGAATAATTTTTCAGATTGTAATATCTTTGAGGCGTCACATTTCAGTTTTACTGTAACCATATTATCATTTGCTCTCTTTTCACACCAGGCACCTGCAAGAGCTTTACATTTGTTGTGGGTGAACTTCCTGGGACCCTGGTTTTCTGCTGACTCGCAGGCAGCTCCTGAAGAGAACGAGAAAAATGACAAGAAACAGAGGCGACAGGAAAGACGACAGATGAGGAGATTCTAGATTTGTCGGTTTATTATTTTTTTTACATTATTGTACAATTACAAAGAACAATCTAAATTATTCAGAGATATTTGATGTGATCCAGACAATAGATGGGCATTGTAAAGTGTCTGACTTCCTCACTTTTCATCAACTATTCCGTCCTTTTTAACCCCTTGGTTCCCTTCTCCAGCTATATGTCTGTCTTAAAATCACTAGCTCAGGTTTGTCTCAGTCATACAGCATATCTGCCTTCTGAGTGGAGCTCCACACACTTTTTTTCTTTAAATGAGTTTAACTTGCATAAATTGCCTTTGCCTACTATAGTGAGCTTTCATGTAATTAGCTTCTGTTTCCACTAAACAGGTGCAGCTACATGGCCCATTGCCCTCAGGCTACATGAGCTTTCACGTTGTACACTCACATTTCACATTATTTTCAGGATTCATGCTTAGGCCTTTCAGCAAATGTTGCTTTGATTGTTTCAGTATGAGGGGAAATAATGTACTGATTCTGCATCAAATGTGATTTTTTTTTGTTGAAGCTACATGTGCAGCTGGTGTTGCCTTGAGGAAATGGAAAGAATTTATATTTGTGTACATGCATACGTACACCTTTAATACACATGACCTCAGTATTGACTGCCATCAGTTTCAATGGAGTAAAGATGTGCAAAAAATATATATACAGCATATTAACAAACTGGGTAAAACCAGTTGTTTCAGGTAAAAAAAAATTATGGATACCCAATGATTATAAATAAACTATTATAAAAGTATGAGTAGATGCAAGTTTGTTTTTATTTAATCTTGAATGCACATATTACATATACACTACTGTTAAGTGTTGGAAAATCAACTAGTTTGTGCTTCTATTCCCTATTCAGTCCTTAAAGGCTCTCCTAACAGTACTCGTTTTTGGATGTCAAACACAGCTGTTTCAACTCTTAAATCAGGACTGTTGTTTCTCAATTGTTGCCCTGATGCTCCTATTCTTTTTTTTTTTTTGTCTGGTCTCCAAGTTGGGTCCAGGAGTTTTTACTGATGACATGGAATAAATCCGATGTGTTGAAGGTTGCTGCAGTTGCATAGAGACAGACATGTAATGCGCATGCCCACTCTGAATGCGCGCACTCGGGTCTTTTTTCGTCCTAGCCTAAACTAATCTTTTTCTCATTGGTGCTGATCTGGTCTGTCTCTATAGGCAGACTGCAGCCACGATGATAATGACAGTCTTTATTTAACCTAGACTGAACGTCATCAACACAGCGAAGGTAAGAACTGTTGCTAAGCTACGGCTAGTTGGCAACCAATCAGATACAACATGAAAACAGCAAAATTTAAGTGAGTAAAGTTGTTTTCTTGGTCAATTTTTTTATCCGCAACTCTCATTTAGTAAAGTTACAAGACCACTTTCTATGGGCTTTAACATGAACAACAAAAACAAAGCAATGAGGTAACGTTAAATGCAGGCGATTTGTTTACAGCTCGGATGAGTTCCTTAGCCACCTTGCCAAGCTATCTTAGCTAACTAGCGCAAAGTTACTCAGCCGGAGAAGTGATGGATGGATGTGTTATTATATTTGTTAGTATGGAATGATTGTTAAGTTGTTAAAATATTTCAAAATGGGGGGAGAGAGAGAGAGGACTGGTCGATTGCAAATTAGCCATAACCTGTTAGCCGTGGAAACAGGGTCTCGTGGCAGCGTGAATTGTAAATGCCTCGCTTCAATCGGCTTTTTTAAAAGTTGTAACGTAACGTAAACGTAAAAAAAATTCTGTATGCATTTTGTTAGACTACGTTAACGTTAATATAGGTTTCAGTCAGATCTCAAATTGAACCTGTCTTCCCTTTGTTCGTAACTTAAAAACGTTACTTATATTGGCAAGATAATAACATCGAAGAGAATAACTAAACTGTTGTTATGGGGGTTAATAGGCATTCACAATATTACGATTAGATGGGGCAAACAGCATTAAACTGGACCATCAGAGTTTATTTTTTTACTTCTAATTAAAAAACAGTAGTTTATATGCAGTAGTTTAAATTTACGGTAATGCTGTGTCATAAGGCGACCATTAAACAAGTTAACCTCAAAACCTCCCAAGTCTAACTTACAAATGTTGATGTGCAGATGAAATAGAAGTGTTTTGAGAATGTTTTTGCCCTCTAGGTTATGTTCAAGATAAACATTGGGGTGTAATTTCGCGAAAATAGTTATTCAAAACTTCTATTACAATTATTTCAATTTCAGGTAAAATAGGCTGTTAATTCCAAAACATGCTTTGTATGTTTTTGGCAGTTTAACAACATTTTTAGAAAAATAACCAAATAACTACTATATTTTCACTCTGTCATGAATTTGGCTACATGTGCAAATATTTACGAATTCAGATCCAAAAAGCCATCTGAACTTTTCTTCTAAATAAGCACTTTCTCAATGTTTAGTTATTTCACTTGAAAGTCAATAAAAAGAACAAATTAATTGCCATAAAATTTCTAGTCAACAGAATGAGTAAAGAAGCATTTTTTTTTTTTTTGAGAATTTCAGATGTCAAAAATTAATATTGAAAATACACTCACCGGCAACTTTATTAGGTAACGTAGTGGGTTGGACCCCATTTTGCCTTTAGAACTGCCTAAATCCTTCGTGGCATAGATTCAACATATTTAACGGAAATATTCCTTTAGAGATTTTGGTCCATATTAACATGATGGCATCACACAGTTGCTGCAGATTTGTCAGCTGCACATCCATGATGCGAATCTCCTGTTCCACATCCCAAATGGGCTCTACTGGATTGAGATATGGTGACTGTGGAGGCCATTTGAGTACAGTGAACTCATTGTCATGTTTAAGAAACCAGTTTGAGATGATTCATGCATTATGACATGGTGCATCAGAAGATGGGTACACTGTGGTCATAAAGGGATTGATGGTCATAAACAATTCTCAGGTAGGCTGTGGCATTGACACGATTCTCAATTGGTTCTAATGGGCCCAAAGCGTGCCAAGAAAATATCCCACACACCATTGCACCACCACTACCAGCCTGAACCATTGATACAAGGCAGGATGGATCCATGCTTTCATGTTCATGCCAAAATTTGATCCTAGCATCTGAATTTCGAGCAGAAATCAAGACTCATCAGACCAGGCAATGTTTTTCCAATTTTCTATTGTCAAATTTTGGTGAGCATGTGTGAATTGTAGCCTCAGTTTTCCTTTACTAGCTGACAGAAGTGGTACCCAGTGTATCCTCTGCTGTAACCCATCCTCCTCAAGGTTGGATGTGTTGTGCATTCAGAGATGCTCTTCTCCAGATCTCAGTTGTAACGAGTGGTTATTTGAGTTATTGTTGCCTTTCTATCAGCTGGAACCAGTCTGGCCATTCTCATCTGACCTCTGGAATGAACAAGGCATTTGTGCAGGCAGAACTGCTGCTCACTGGATATTTTCTCTTTTTGGACCATTCTCTGTAAACCCTAAAGATGGTTGTGCGTGAAAATTCCAGTAGATCAGCAGTTTCTGAAATACTCAGACCAGCCTGTCTCCAACAACCATGGCAAATTCAAAGTCACTTAAATCACCTTTCTTCCCCTTTCTGTTGTTCGGTTTGAACTGCAGCAGATTGTCTTGACCATGTCTGCATGCCTTAATGCTGATTTGCTGCCATGTGATTGGCTTATTAGACATTTTGTACCAAATAAAGTGACCAGTAAGTGTATATTCCATATAAAAACAATCTGGCATTCAGAAGTTTTTAAAAAGACGCTTTACATTGTGACACCTTAGTTTTGTGTTCTTTTGAAGTTGTTTAGAGTGACGTTGTATTTATATGAGCTCTTTCATTTAAACAGATGGACAAAGAAAACAAAGTAATATTGTTGCATCCCTAACATTTCTGTGTTGGTGGGATGAGCAGAGTGATTTGACCCAGTCCACACAATCATCACGATGGCTCTCACCAACACCACTATAACATCATGGAAACTGCGTGAGTACAAATTCCCTAGGCATGACACTCCAGAACTTAAGCAGTCAAGATCTACTTAATGTTTAAGTATTCGAAAATGTCACCGGCTTCTGTTTTGTCTTATGTGGTTTTCAGAGGAGATAGTGGCTCATTCCAGCAATGTGTCTTCACTGGTGTTGGGGAAATCCTCTGGTCGTCTACTGGCCACAGGCGGGGAGGACTGCAGAGTCAATATCTGGGCTGTCAGCAAACCAAACTGCATCATGGTAGCATCCTCTTGCTTGTTTAGATTTACAGGAGTGTCTCACATTTGTTTGGTTTGATGTTCATTCTCTGTTCTTTAGAGTCTGACGGGCCACACCAGTGCTGTGGGATGCATCCAGTTCAACAGTTCTGAAGAGCGTGTGGTGGCTGGTTCTCTGTCAGGTTCTCTTCGGCTTTGGGATTTGGAGGCTGCTAAAAGTAAGTGGTTTGTAAAATGCCTTTTTTGCACTTTTTGTTAAGTTAGTACCTAATAAATGTCATGTGTACACAACAACCAAGTGCTTAAAAACTCACTTCATTTCCTTTTTTTTTTTATTTGTGCGTGTACACAATGTGATTTAAAATACCTCTATTTTGAGACTAGTTTTCATGGCCGCAAAACACTACTGTCATAGAAAAAAGGCTTAAATCCATACAAATTATTTTGTAAACAGCCCCAATTTAACAGGGCAGTGTTCGTGCTAATATGTTATGTCTTTTTCACTATGCAAATGACAAGTCATGAAGGCAGATGTGTAATTTTCAAATGTAAAAACATTTAAATGGTCCATTATTTAAACATTTCATTTTCTTTCTTTATTTCTGTGGGTTAATAGGATGAAATAAGCCCTAGAAATGTTTTAAGAAGCTCTATAAGGTTCGTCCAATCAATCTTTACTGAGAAGTAATGGTTAGAAATGTGCTTTGCCTAAATTTGAGTTGATGCTCTGCCCTATGATGGGATAGCAGGCCAATATTTGATGTAAAGATTTACATGTAGAGGAATAAGTGTATTCCTCATGCTTTCTGGGATGATTAAATGAACCTGTTTGGTGGGAGAGATTCCGTTGTGATCACTTTCACTCTGATCTCTGAAGACATGCACAGGGGCCATCTGACCAGAAATGCTTTTGAGTTTGACAAATTGTTCAATGTCTGTTTGTGAGTCCACTGAATTATTTTTCTTTTTTTTTTTTAAGTTCTACGCACGTTGATGGGGCACAAGGCCAGCATCAGCAGTCTAGACTTTCACCCCATGGGAGAATACCTGGCATCTGGCTCTGTGGACAGCAATATTAAGGTGTGTTAAATATATTCGACATGAAAGTTTGCGTAGCCAGCTGCCTATACTGTAGCATAACTGTGGTTTCAGATTTTTTTTGTTACCTTAACATAGGTTGATGAATTTGAAATTTTGTCTGGAAAAATTGTTGGTTAATGTTACTTCCAGCAGCCACTGTCATACTGCACTTTGATTGTAGAAAATTTCCGGATTGCTTATAGGTAAAATGAACTTTGTACATTGTATTTCTACGTCTAAATGCCATGTCTTCATGGGTTGGGTGCAAATCCAGAAAATCACTGGCGGCGTGAATAAAAACAAAGATGCTAATACAATTCTCACAAAAAAACAGTATCTATGTGTTTTCTGGAATCTGTGTGAAAGAGGCTTGTGTAGGACTACCAAGGCCTGTCATACATATTTATTAAATAAATGAAGACAAAGTTCTTTGTTCATTCAGCATATATAATTTATAATATTACATTCAGGCTTCATGGGTTCAGTGCGAAACAGGTTAAGGCTCAATCCCAATTCTATTTTTGTACCCTTAAGGCTTCAAATTTACCCCTAAGAAATTTGACAACACCTGCACATGTCATCTTATGTCATTGTGATCTCTTGCTTCATATAAGATCGATGATTGCGACTGCTGTAGTTTTTCTAGTTGCATTATTTTTGGTATTTATCTTCAGGAAATCACTTACGGCAACAATATGATGTTATTGTAACAATATAATGTGGCAATAAGATCATAACTGTTCTGTGTATTTACACCATGGCCGAAGTCATGTATGTAAACACACAAAAACGTTAACATTATAGCAGACACCTTTAAAAGGTAATTACCAGACACCAGACTGTTCTGACAGGTTATTCGTGTGTCATCGAGTGTCAGAATGTTGTGGGACTGCTCTACAGGAGTTATTATTATTGATTATAGATGGCGAAATTTAGCGTTTTTTTTAAAGCATGTTGGTAAACCAGGAATGCTGGTATGTATGTAATAAAACGCATGCTTGTCTGATGTAAAAATTCGTAACAATGACAAAACATACTAATTTGTGTATCTTCTGATCTCCTTCTGCAGCTGCTGCCGTTGTAGCTTGTGTATTCTGAGAAATTTTCTTACCTCTTGGTTTCGAGTGTGGTCCTGAAAAATGTCCGTTGAAGGTGTATCTAGCACTTCCCCTTAGCTCTACACCTTCAAGCTAAAGAGAATTGAGACACCCCTACCCCTTCATGTGAACCTGCAAAACAAGAGGGAAGGGCTAAGTTGTAGAATTGGGATTGGGCCTAAGAGTAAAGCTGAATGAAATGTTATAAAATATACCAATAATATAAAATGTACTATTTAATATTGTAAAATAAACTAAATAACAAATCGTTAATCTCAATCAATAATCTCTATTTGTATGACAGTTGATTATGAACACAGACTTCATGTTTCTGACAGGCCTAGTGACTAGATATTCTGTGCTTATTTTAGATTGTGTCACCTCACATTTTTTTCAATTTCTGTATTCCTTGTTTAGTTGTGGGATGTGAGAAGGAAAGGATGTGTGTTCAGATATAAGGTAAGCACTAAGCTGACTTTGTGTGTGTCTGTACAGTCAGAAGCCAGGCTAATCACCCTTAACCCTCAGTTGTGTCTGAGCTCATGATTAATCTGTGGATTATTGAGAAGCTCAATGTATCTTGCTCATCTGTTTTGTGAAATGGGATGTTTTTGTGTGCAAGATTCAGCTGTTTATGCAATTTATAATCTCTAGATGTTCATTTTCTGTTTAATGGCACTTATCAAGCTGTTTTGAGTTTAATGCCTTTTAAAGCACTTTAGTTTTGAAAGTGCTTCATTTATTGGTTACACAAGCTTTATATGAATGTAAAATTATTGGATTTGTTTATGTGCCTAATACAATGTATGTTTTATTGCAGGGTCACACTCAGGCTGTGCGCTGTCTAGCATTCAGTCCTGATGGGAAATGGCTTGCTTCAGCCAGTGATGACAGTACAGTAAAGGTGAGAGCTTTACTGGTCATCTCGTTTCCAAAAAATGTCTTTCTAATTACATTTAGTTTTTAATGCATACTTTCATTCTGCTCCCCATATAGCTATGGGATCTTATAGCAGGCAAGATGATCACTGAATTCACATCACACACATCAGCGGTTAATGTTGTGCAGTTCCACCCCAATGAATACCTGCTTGCCTCTGGGAGTGCAGATCGGTATGGTGTGTCTGTCTGTGTGTGTGTGAATAAGGGACTAGTTTGTGGATATCTGTTTATTTGTAACTTGAATGAAATGTGTTCAGATTTGCTTTTGAAAATATTTATTGCCTTTGGCACCTTCTTAATGCATTTTCTATGTTTTTACAGGACGGTTAAGCTGTGGGACCTGGAGAAATTTAACATGATTGGCTCATCGGAGGGTGAAACTGGAGTTGTGAGGTGATTATCGGTTTTGTAATTTGGGTGTTTGTTATTCTTTCTTTGACCTCTAGCTGAATTCTCTGTCTTTTTGCTGCAGAAGTGTTTTATTTAACCCTGATGGTAGCTGCTTGTACAGTGGCTCAGAGAACACACTACGGGTGTACGGCTGGGAGCCTGACCGCTGCTTTGATGTAGTGCATGTAGGCTGGGGCAAAGTGTCTGACCTGGCCATCAGCAACAACCAAATGGTTTGTGCTTTTATCTTTTTTTTCCTACAGGCAGGCATGTGTGGGTGCTGTGCTGTTTGTTGAACTAGCTATACTCTGTTTCTGGTATGATTAAATGAACCTGTTTAGTGGGAAAGGTCCTGTAGTGACCATTTTCACTCTGACTTCTGAAGACGTGCACAGGGGCCATCTGACCAGAAATGCTTTTTTGATGAAGACCGTCGAGAAAACATTTGAAGGCTTTTTATTCAGTTTGTGTCTGTCTTCTGTGTCTTGAATAGATCGCAGTATCCTACAGTCACACTAATGTGAGCTGGTATGTTGTGGATCTCAACCGAGTGAAGAAGTCTGGATCTGTGATTCAAGGGTTGATTCAGGACAAACCTATTCCAGCACCTTCGTCTGCACTGGGAACAACACTTCGGCGGAATTATGAGCGGCCCACTACATCCTGCACTGGACAAGAGTGAGATTCTTTTTCTTTCCATCATGCATGTACACTAGGGATATAAACCTATACTGGTCTCATGGTTCAGGTACGGTTATCAATTTGGTTCAATTCGATATCACAGTGCATTGACGATGCTTTCTATCCACAATTTTTTTTATCTTCACAGCACAAGAATACAACTTTGTCTAAATATAAGCAGTCAGATAAAATAAATCTTAAATGTTACAATCTAAAAAAAAACATGCTTTATAATACAAAATAATAATAATAATGATTTCTTACATTTTTTTTTAAAACGTTTATCTGGACACTCAAAGCGCTTTACATATTTTTGGGGGGTGAATCTCGTCTTCCACCACCAGTGGGCATGACACAACGGCAGCCATATTGCACCAGACTACACACCAGCTGATTGGTGGAGAGGAGACAGAGTGATACGGCCAATTATGATAAGGGGGATGATTAGGAGGCCATGTTGGACAGGCCAGTGGGCAAATTTATCCAGGATGCCAGAGTTAAACCCAACTCTTCGAAGGATTTTTTGGGGGTACTCGCACTATGTAAAGTTGCCTTGAACTGTGCCGAAGCACGCTTGTCCCCACTCCCGTTTCCCTCGACGACCCACACCCTAGTTGCATTTGCACCTGAGCGTGCTTATGTCATCGATGATGTGCTGTTCAGTAGAGAAGCAATCTTGGTCAACACAGTGGAGATTTCTTTAGTTATATCATTTTAGTGGTTTGGGATGCAGTGACACACAGTTAAATATTTTGCAGAGCAGATCAGCCACTTTTGACACTTATAAACAATCATAAAGTTCTCATGCTGCAGGTATTAGGAGGTTTGCTAAAGGTGCAGCTGTCGTGCAGTAAAGGGTTTGTGTCTTTAATAATCTATGACAGTTTGCGTTCATTGAACCGTAAGAATAATGAATAAATCCATACCAAACAGTCCCTTAATAGTCACGTCTCATCTTCAGTTTCGGGCTCAGGCGCGCTTTGCACTCACAATTCAAGCGTATCGCGCCAAAGCCTAAGTGAACCGCGCTCTGGCGCACCTCTTCCAACCGGGCCAGGGCCGGCCAACAGAACCGTGCCTGAACCCAATTCAGAGCACTCGTGCTTCTCATACAATCCAGTAAACGGGCCTGGGCATGGTTCGAATATCATAGTGTGAGTGTGCCCTTAATGACCACAGAGTCAGGACCTCCATTTAATGTCTCATCTGAAAGACGATGAGCAATATAGTGTCCCCATCAATATACTGGGGCATTAAGACCTACGCAGACCTCATCAAGCACCCCATGCTGGTCTTACTTATACCTTTTTAGGCAGCAACCAAGCTCTTCCATGTGGTCTCCCATCCAGGTACTGACCAGGTGCAGCTTAAGCTTGTTTTTTTTTTTCTTTACTTTGAGGTGCCCAAAGTTGGCCCATGGGAACCTTTGGTTTGGCCCACCATCTTATCTGAAAAGAGAGGGAGAATGATAGGGAGTTGGTTGGGGTGAATGCTGAATGAAAAGCTTTCGAGCGAGTGCATATGGATTGTGCAAATCTGACACCTGGTACCCTTAAAGTTTGGACGGGATGGTGGAATTTTTTCCCTCTTCAAAACCAAAAACCAAAAGGAGAAATGCCAGCGTGGATCAAGCTGTGTGAGGGGCGCTAAAGGAGCGGAGCTAAGTAGGTTTTGTTTTGATATTCCTGACACATTCAGTGATAGACTGACAGCAATAACTCGCACACCTCTTACCCTAAACAGGTCTAAGCTGTTTCCTCCACAAAAATACAAAGCAAGTTATGTTTCACAGCTGTCTTATTCCTTTTTTTCACTCTATATTATGAGCACTGCTCCGTTTAAGCCTTTGCCAGCCACATCACAAACACATGTGCGAGAGCAAGCTGCGGGCCATACTCGGCCCGGATAACACTCGCCGATGCCGAGTCGGAGCCGGAGGTGCCGAAGGGAAGCTGAGCTCGGGCGGATTACTATTTGCTATCTGGGAATGTTTGTTATACTAATAACAAATAGGTCATAATGAATTGAGTTATTGATCCGGAAAATACGAATCTGCAAATCTGTTGCTAACCTTACTGAACTTCATATTTCCATCTGCTTCAAACTACGAATATTTGATATTACAAATCAACAGAAAAAAAAACGAGATATGATCACAAATTGAGCACTTGCGATCAATATACTTTACCCCAAGCTGTTTTTCAGTAATTTATAAAGAGCACACAAACATACTGACTGTTATAGGTAACTTACTGCACATTGCTATGGGTCAGTGACGCTAATATTCAACACAAATCCATCAATTTCCCCTTTCTGGCTGTTCTTTCTATGAATGAACTATGTTAAAGCACTGTCATGCGTGTTTCCTTGTCGGTTAGTAACGCTATATTTCATTGCACAATAATTAATCTGTCAGGCTTTTTGGCTAAAAATAGAGAAATCACAGTTTCATTTGTTATTATTAGATTATTTTAAAATTTCACCTCTCCTGCTGAGCATGAGCTAAGCTGTTAAATGGTTAGCATATAAAGCGGCTAAGCTAGCTTCAATTTTGTTTCAGTTATTTTCTAATTGGTTGCCTAATATGTCGTGAATATACCCCTGTAAGGCATACTGCAGTCCTTTTTTTTCTGGCTTTCTCAGATATCTCACCTGTCAGCCAAAAATGACATTATATCCCAGGCAATGTCTGACACCGGCGCACACACATTGTAAAAGCCGTGCCAGGCACGAAAGCTTGACAGGTGTTATAAACGGAATTTTTTATGTTTTTACTATAAGTTCATTAGAAAATGTGTAATGGTACTGCTTCAGTATCTAATATGTTTTAAAGCAACGTTGTCTAGTTATTTTTAAATATTAGCAAATAAATTAGGAAATTACCTAATTCGACACACAGCCCTCAATAAAGTTTGGGTTTTGGCACTTTATAAGAAAAAGTTTGGCCACCCCTGCACTAGAGGAAGTGACAAGTCTACATGAGTACATACAGTGTACATTAGGAACGTCAAAATTAAGCATGGGCCGATTAAGATTCTGACGGTATGATAACCTTGGATAAAAATATCACGGTTTCACAGTATCACTGTATGGTGCTCACTGCTCTAAAATATATTCCTTTTAAATATCTGGGTAAAAAACAAAAACTTTTTTTCCTCTTTGAAAACGATATATTCTATTTTTTGAAACCTTTATAATATTTTGGTAAAACATGTCAGGCTTAATAATTCAAATGAATCATTGACCTCTGCTGGCTTTACTTGTTTCAAAAACACAGATTTCTTTACAATTTAAAACGTCATCTTTGGATATCTTTTCGGCTTTAGAGACTGTTGTCCTAAAAAAATGTTAAGGAAAAATCTCACACATACCTTAGGAACAGTATTACAGAACATTTTGGTGGTTTTAAAACCTTGACTTTTCCAAACCGCGATATACCTTGAAAACGTTTATCGTTCCATGCCTAGTCAAAATTAATAGTTTCTTCGATACATCTTGATCCAGATGTGGACAATGGGGTATTAGTCAAATTATTAGTCAACAAAATCAGGCACAGGAGCATTTGGAACAAATACGCAAGTTAATGATACTGCTTGCTTTTTGAGAACAGTAGAGTGCTTCTTTAAATGCCTATGATTGCCCATCGTGTTCACGTGCTCAACAGAAAATGACCAGTGCTGTTCATGGAGCAATGACACGGACACTTGAAGAAAGCTGTGAAGACATCAGCTGATCCATTGCTTTCCATTCATATCTGCTCCTGGGCAAATCCTCTTATCGATCCGGTAGAGAACTTGCTCTGCAGACAAGCTTGTGCCTGGATCCACATGTACAGTATTGCTATAACCATTGAGAGAGGAGTGGAAACGTTACATCAGACACGGTAGCAGGTCAAAGGGTCCAGATTGAGAGAGAGAGAGAGAGAGAGAGAGACTGGGAGATGTAGCTTTACAGCATCCATTTATCAATGATATAGGGTATCGGGTTCTACTGTACCTTCAATGTCAGTGAAAGACTATCCTGTGCAGTTTTCTGCTTTTAGTAGTTGGAACGTTTTAATTACTTGCATGTGTCTCACGTCACTCACCCTAGTATGCTTCAGCGATTGCCTCCCTTCCATAGTTGGCTGCTGTGACATAGCACATATGCAATACATGATGTCATTATGTAATAACTAGTTATGATCTATTGCTTAACTATTATCGCGTTGTCCACATCTAGATCAAGATGTATCGAAGAATCTATTAATTTTGACATTCTAAATGTGCACCGCATTTGCTCATGTTGACTTGATGCTTCTTCTAGTTTTAATGGACATGCTATTTACACTGTAGATCCAAAGTATACTTTATAGTCTGCACACTGTCATTGTGACACAGTTTTTATCATCAGAGTGCTTCAAGTACAACAGCACAAGTGCAAACTTAATGTTCAAACAGAGAGTCCAGTTGGTGTTTCTGAGCGTATGCTAATTCTGTCCATGTGTGGTTGAGTATCATTTGACAGTGACACAAACACACCTACGACAGAGCTGCATGTGAAAAAAAGATCTCATGAAATGAAAATAAAGATGTTAGTATGTTAGTATTGTGTGCTCTACAACAGTGACAATTTGCATCTACAAGATCTAAACATCAAAAGCTTGCAGTTTGTCACTTCTGCCAAAAATGGATCAACAATTATTATTATTATTTTAGTTTTAATGTCATCTCATACTGGTTTTTCATCTAATCTTCTGATTAATCATATGCTCTATAGCGGTGTTTCTCAACCACGTTCTTGAAGGATCATTGACACTACATGATTTTGTTGTCTCCCTTGTCTGTCAAACCCATTTCAGGTCTTTTAGTCTCTGCTAATGAGCTGATAATCTGAATCTGGTATGTTTGGTTAAGGAGACATGCCAAATGTGCAGAGCTGGTGGCCCTCCAGGAACGTGGTGGAGAAGCATTGCTCTATAGTATCTGACATGTCCTGCCCCCTTCAAGATGATTTTTATTTAATGCAATTGATCTCAACCACTCTCACTGGCAGAGCTGACATTAAACACTATTGGCTGGAGGAGGTACCGCATGTACCGCCCTGTCTTCATGTTTCAGTTAAAATTTCATCAAACGTCATCTAATAAAAAAAAATCACAATTGAAAGCACTTTATGATCTTTAAGGTTCAGTGGTTTTTCAGAGAATTCATCTACTTGAAATATATATATATATATATATATATATATATATATATATATATATATATATATATATATATAATAGCATGCAGTTGCTTTGGATAATTTACTAAACCTTCACTTGTTCCAAACCGGTTTGAGTTTCTTTTTTCTGTTGAACATGAAAGATGAAGAAAGCTGGAATCTTGTTACCATTGACTTCCTTATCATTTGTTTTTTTTGTTTTTTTCTATGGAAGTCAGAATTTCAACTTTCTTTAAAGTATAATCTTTTGTGTTCAACAGAATAAATAAACTCCTATCTGTTTGGAACCTTTCGAGGGTCAGAATGTTTAATTTTTTGGTGAACTATCTCGTTATAATATTAAATTGAGGAATAAGTCAATTTTATTCAGTTCATGTAGTGAACTTGGGGGCCGGGGCATGTTTTAAGATAAATACCAGAGTATTGTAGCTAGGATGTGTGGTAGGGCTGCACGAAATATCGTTTCAGCATTGATATCATGTAAATGTGATCATTCGCAATAGTCACATTTTGAGTACATCAATTTTGAGTCTTTAATAAAATTTTATAATTTTGCAAGTGTTTTTTGAGGCCTGTGATTGTGTGAGGGTATTATAAGCATTCAGGCATAATAAATTGTACCGTTTGTTACTTAAACAAAAGAATAATAATCAATTTAATTGAATTGATAAGAAAATGACCATGGACTCCTTGAAAAACAATAAAATGCTGTTAATTTAATTTGTATCTTTTTTTTTTACTGAATTGATCTATGCTTGTAGATTTATTTTTAAATGTATATTTTATGCCCTCCCCTACAGAATCATCCCAATCAATCTAAAATTATAGATTCTTTCCAAGCAGTTATTCAAATCATCCAGTGAAATTTATTTTCATATCGCAGAATAAAAAAGCCAATGTTACATTTTTCTAGTATAACGCAGCCCAGCATGTGGCTCAAATAAATTTTGACACCAAACCCAGACAATGTGCGTTTTGTTTTTTTTGTTTTTTGGCAACAATGCTAATATTGCAGACTGCCTAACGGGTTAAACATTTTAAGCTTTTAAATAGGAATTGTATTACATTTTAGGTAATGTCTTTAAACATTTGTAAATGTATTTTATTTTATATTTGACTAGTTTCCTTATCTGTAAATTTTATTTGGCTCATGTTTATGGCCTTTGTTTTTTTTTCTTGAGTGTATGACATACACTTACATAAAGATCTACACTTTGTGTACACTAAGAAAATATATGACATGCACTCATTTAAATACAATATTGTTGTTTTTTAGAAAGGGTTTTCTCAACTGCTTGATGATGATTTTGTTTTTTTTTTTAACTTAATTTTACTGTTTTTCAAATAAATACAGCTATGGTGATCTAAGACTTTTAAAAACATTTGAAACATTTTAACTGCAGAGAGTATCTTGCATCATTTTACATATGTATCTATTTTAGACCATTTTCTCAAGAATTTGAGGAGACTCACCCTTATTTGTGTGTAGGATGAAGCAGAGTTCAGAAGCTGATCGGCGCAGTCCAGAAGGAGAGCGGAGAAGTCCCAGCAGTGAGGATGAGAAAGAAGACAAAGAGAGCAGCGCAGAAATCACCAACCCTGAAGATTATAAAGAGATCTTTCAGCCCCGCAGTGTCATCTGTGAGTTGCAGTTGCACAAAATATATAACCAGCATTGTTACCTTATGCTTCTTCACATGCATTATGATACCTTTCTCATTAACATCTGACTTTGTCTCTCTCTGGGTCTTTGTTTCATTCTGCAGCACGAACACCACCTAAAACAACAGAACCCTTTCCAGCACCTCTAGAGCATTCTTTCTCAGAGAGTGTGCTAGAGAAACCCGGTCCAGTAGTTAAGATTGTAACTCCAGTAATAGACAGGGTATGCTTTTTTTATTTAAGTATATTTTTATAGTTTAGATTTAAGTTTTTAATGTCATTGTGCAGAGTACAAAGGTACAGCCAATGCAATGCTGTTAGCATCTAATCCGAAGTGCAAATAATGTGTACAAATATAACATGTTTACATGCAACTGCTCTGTGACATATTGCAAGTTGTGAGGTAGAAGGGTGGAGGATCATTGCAAACACAATATAAGGTGCCTTATCAATTATTTTATTGAATATAATAGTAGTGTTCAGCAGTTGAGATTTAAAAAAATAATCTCCCAATTTATAACTGTAGTTTTTGATACTTCTTGCTCTAAGCCTTTATTTAGGCCTAAACTTAATTTTAAAGGTAGGGTAGGTAATGTTGGAGAGGCTAGCAATAGAAAGTAACCTTTAAAAACCAAAGATCATTCCCTCACTTAATAATTACTGTCTAAAGCAGGGGTGGCCAACCCTGTTCCTGGAGAGCCACCTTCCTGCAGATTTCAGTTGCAACCCGCATCAAACACACCTGCCTGTAATTATCATGTGGTGTTCAGGTCCTAATTAATTGGTCCAGGTGTGTTTGATATGGGTAGCAACTGAAATCTGCAGGAAAGTGGCTCTCCAGGAACAGGGTTGGCCACCCCTGGTCTAAAGTGTTGGCGATGAAGATTAACTGTTACAAATAAAAGTCTGGTGTGTTAGATAGATAAAGAGAAGACTTAGAGTTGAAGATGCAATAAAAATTAAGAAAATTTTACAGAAGACGTATGGCAGAAGGGCTTCACACTAATGCAGAGCTCGCAGGCTGATCTTCTGACTTACAGTAAGAACAACACAGCAACTCATACTCCTTTATACAAAACCAGAAACTCAAGTAAAAGGTTCTGATTGGTTAAAGCAAAGATAGACAACTCTAAATAGGTATGTCAATGCAGGGTTCGTATCTGCGTCTATAGATAGGGATGAAGGTCCTGGGTCAGGTCGACCACAGACTATTCTGAGCTAATCCCAGACCTGTAGATCTGACCACTCGGACGAATATACATCTGCAAGAGAACAATCTGTTGTAAAAGCTCAAGGTTGTTTCTTTGTATTCTCAGCTGTTTTCTCAAACTGGTTTAAAATTGGTATACACAACATTCAGGCTGCTATATTCTCACTACACAATTGATCTAGCATAAAAAGGAATTACTTTAAAAAGAATTAACCATAAAAATAACTAAATCACCTTAGACAACATTAACACATATATATAACAACAGCAACGGTTGTTTCCAGTCATCAGGCCAGGAGTTCCACTCAAGAGGTCTACATGACCCATGACCTGGTTTTGTTTCTCCTCAAAATGAAGTTAAATAGACAGACAAAGATAGGGACCAGACTCTGACCATTGCTAAAACATTAGGCATTGTGGTCACTTTATTTATTAGTCAAAATCCTTTTAAAGATTAAATACTGATTCAATTAATCATATTAATAAAGTAATGAGGAAAAGGATAATGAGAGGAAAGATAAATGTTGATCCTTGCTGCGACAGATTTTGAAGAAATCCAGCCCCATTTAAGAGTCACACTAAAAGATATCAACATGCGTGCATACACAACCAGACCAGATGCTCTGGTCATCTCATTTATCAGTGAGAATGCATTACAACGATTCTGTGCATAAACTACAATAATAAGTATATCTGCATATTGTTATCATTCTGGGCACTGCATGTCCCGCCATGCAGTACCCAGCATGATAAAAATATAAAGACAGCTTATTGTTATGCTCAGATTGAATATTTTGAATTTCACTGATCTAAATACCTTTAGACCAGTTAACTTAATTAGTGGTGTAATGATGTAAAAAGACTTTTAACTAGCTTACCATGAAACGTATATATTTTTTTTGTCTTTTGCCAGTATTTATTGTGTTGGCCCAGATTTTTTTCCCTTTTTTCTTTATTTTTACTTTAACTTTTTTTGTTTGTTTGTTTTTCTGTGTATTTTTAGGCAGGACAGTTGAAAGGTCCCATTACATCCTCTACTCCAGTACAAAGAGTGGAACCAACAGTGATCGCCGCTGCTCCCCGTCCAGTAGCAGTGGTAACCACATCAGCGAGCTCTCCATCTCGACCTGTGGTTAATACCACTAAACCCAAACCCTCCACAGGAATCATCCTCTCAACACGCAACGAGCCAATTGGACTCAATGCAGGAGACTTCCTTTCTGTAAGTTCAATGGATGTTAACATTACTGTCTAGCACTATTGTTTCCGTGAGCTGATTCACTTCTATATTATGCTCCACTCATATCGTGTCTGAATTGCTGTAATTATTGGATGGAGATTCTTGGAGCTGTTCAGATCCTTTTAAACGTTTTCTGTTTCTATGGCAATGTTCATAAGCGTAAATGGATCCACGAGTTGATTAAAAATGGCAAAAGGCTTCATCACTACAAATTAATATCTTGCAAAATACTGCAGAACAATGGAAGTGTGCCAGGTTTTAGACTGCAACAGTCAGGTTCTGGAATCTTCTCCATAGAGAATTTCATTTTTAGCATTTTAACTTAAGAAGTTTAAAGACAGATGTGTTGTATTCATTTTATTACTGAACTTACTGTTTTATTATTATTTTTATGTGCTGTCCACTTGTGAAGTTGGCATGGTTTTTCTTTCAAAAACATAAAAATCTACAAGTATTACGCCCCATTCACACAGGGCGTCAGCTTCAACGCTTCCCATTAACTTTGAATGGGTGACGTCAGGCGTTGCCGAACTGCATTGTGGATCTGTTGGCGCCGCTTCAGAGGCGTTGCTCGCTGCAGAAGTTGGGACTTGCTCAACTTTTTAAGCTTTTCTCCCCTCACTTAAAAGTGAACTACCACTTCTTTGAATGGATAACAGTTTTGCATAGTAAACTAGCTATTGACTCCCTCTTGAGTTCACTTGATTTAATTATGTCTGTTTCAAAGGCAATTTTGAAAGTCTTTTCAAATGATTTGCTTTAAAATGTGCAATATGTAATTTTCTGCAGAAACAATTTTTGTTTTCTGTAAAAACGATTTTTGTTATGCTGGTTGAAAGTTGAAAGTCTCTGACATCATGATAGCAATCATTAAATTAAGTGGGCAAATGCATTTAAAATGCATTTTAATATCCTGTGTAATGTGTAGGACCAAGAAAATGTCCTATTTGAAACGTTAGGTCCAAACTTAAGGATAGGCTGTCCTACCTGCCTGTCAAAATATGCAGTTGCATACATCTGTCCACTTTTCATTTAGAATGTATTGTCATCTACAGTACGCGTTTACAGATGCATTTTAGACAGCCAGGCTAACCGCAATAACTTACTTTCATTTTTAAGTTTGCTATTGTAATTACCAACTGTAATATAAAGTTTACTCTGGTCAATGTGATGTGATGTAGTGATTTGTTTAGGAAGAGTGGCTTAGTGTACGATATGCAGGGTGGGAAGTAGGTTTTCAGTGCTATCAGGCTAAAGTTAGTATTTTCCAACAACTCCTATTGCACCTTTTTTTTACTTTTTTGAATTGTGAAATTCCATGACTTCTGTCTCAATTTACGACTCAAGTTTTTAGCAAGATCAAATTTTTAGCATATTGTTTTGGAACGTGATCCATCTGTGATCTCAAGTTTTCAATGATATTAACAAATAAATGTGCATGATTGGCAGAGCTTTCAAACCTTCGTTTTAAACAACTCAATTTTGCTTGAGTTGGATGGTACAGATGAGAGAGTTAGAGATCATATGATACTGCAACATATTAGATTTTATTTTTCTAATAATTTTGCATAATCACATTAACAACAAAATATCTACATTAAAGAAAATATTTTTTATCTTTCAATTATAAATATATATTATATTTCATATTATATTTATATATTTGTGGATATAATTATTCAATTGTCAATATAATTGTTCATGTTTTTTGTAAAACATATTTATTTTTATTTAATTCATTGACATATTAATCTAAATGACTGTATTTTTCCAATCAAAGAAATACGGCAAGTAAAATAAATTATTTCCACCTTCGAAATATAAATCGTTTACATCCTTCCCTCACACCTCATTCAGCTGCCATTCTTGTTCATAGTTTAGTCACATCCTGTTTAGATTACTGTAATTCCCTTCTGTTTGGCCTCCTTAAAAAACTCTTTATTAATTACAACTGGTACAAAGCCGTGCAGCCCGTATTATCACAAAAACTCCCTCAATCTGTCACATCACACCCAATCTACAATAACTTCACTGGCTTCCCATCTTTTTCAAAATTAATTATAAAATACTTCTTCTCACTTTTAAAGCCATCCATAACCTCGCTCCTCCATACCTTTCTAACCTTGTTCATATCGCCACACCTTCCCGAACAATCGGGTCTCCTTCTTCCATTCACCTCACTGTTCCCTCTGTCCGCCTTGTCACCATGGGGAGCAGATCCTTCAGCCACTCTGCTCCTCTGCTTTGGAATTCACCTTCCTCCTGATCTCCGTCATTTTAGACTCTCTTTCACAATTTAAATCCAAACTCAAAACACATCTGTTTAGAACAGCCTATTCTCTTTGACCTGACTGCATTTTTAAAGTCTGAATTGTATTATATTGTTTATTTTTTGTGTGTGTGTGTGTTTGTATTTGAACTGATTGTTCTAGCTGTCCTGTACGGTGACCTTAAATGTCATGAAAGGCGCCTTTAAATAAAAAACATTATTAAAAGTACATACTACCTCAAGTGTAAATATTATTTTAATATTATATAACTTATCAGAAGCTATTGTTCTGCCCTCAGCGACCTCTTTTGTGTCAATTTGCAAAGTACTGAGTGTTTCTGCTTGTTTTAATAGCATGCACGAAATGCTAAAGCCAGCGCAATGGGAGATGAAGAGGCCTTAGCACAGATCAGGAAAGGGCACGACACCATGTGCGTAATGCTGAGCAGTCGATCTAAAAACCTGGACAGTGTCCGCTCCGTCTGGGCCAGTGGTGATGTAAAGGTAAGAGCAACAGCACTCAAGCTGATGAGCTTTGATAAACTGATGGACGGACAGATTGTAATGAGAGATCTCTTCCTGGCTGATGGATACTTTTACTGCTGCGCATCCAAAATGTATTTCTAATGTAATCTAGTGAGGGCCTTAATGGGCTATTATTGAAAGCAGCAGCAGCACACAAAAAGCACTGTTTGCTTTCTTCTTTGTGTTGCCAGACGTCCCTGGACTCAGCAGTGTCTATGAATGATCTTTCTATTGTGGTGGACGTCCTCAACATAATCAACCTTAAGCCGTAAGCATCCACAAAATATAAGCAGTTATGTTCCAGTTAGCATCATTTCAGTTGAACTGACTGAAAGTTGTGTAATTGTGTTTCAGGTCACTGTGGAAACTGGACCTCTGCACGTCCATCCTGCCACAGATTGAGGAGTTGCTTCAGAGCAGATATGAAAGGTGAGTCAACATAATGTTCAAGCAGCAGAAACCTTTTTTTCAAAATGTACAAACTACTAAAAAAATACAAAACTGATTCCTGTCATTTAGGGCAATTAATTTAATTAATTAATTAATGTATTTAATTTAATAAAGTGAGGCTAGTTTTGCTTTTTACAACAAATTAAGGTTTTTAATTAATCAACAGTTTTGTTTATTAATATTTTGTATAAAAATAAAAATAATAATTAATAGATAAGTAAAGGGCCCATGAAATTAAAATATTTTTTTTCAGATGTTAGAATCAGTATTATTTATTTTTAGGATATCTATAAGCTAGTGTGCTCCAAAACGGTGACAAAATTTGCATCTAGAAGATATAAACCTGATCATTTGTTTCAATACTTCAGTTTCCCATCACATCATAACCAATCAGATGATCTCTAGTCTCTGACATGCCCCACCCCTTCAAGACACTTCTCTTTAGGTGCATTCGACATGAAGCACAGCTACAATCAGTGATCAACGAGATTAGCCAAGCGCAGGTGGGGCGGAGTTGAAAACGGAGCCGTCAAGCCGGACAGCTGGACACTTCGGGACTCATAAGTTGCTGCAGTCATGATGACCGATCACATGGCGTCATCATTTTTTATTTATTTTTATTCATAACAACAAAACAATTTCAAATAAAACAGAATACAGTCTCTACAAACTATAGTTTGTACAATTTTAAACAATAAGGGAGAATTATGAATAAAATATATAACAAATGCATGAGAGAAATTAAGGGGAAATGAGAGGGTAATATAAACATACAAATGAACCGGTCTATTAAATACAAAGCAATAAGCACAAATTCTAGGAGTTTAAACATCACTTTAGGCTAATACTTCTTGTTTAAATATGCTAAAAAGGGGTTTACATTAATGTACATTTATAGATATAAATCTTTCCCATGTAAAACGCAAAACAAGGTGTTTTGATTAAGTCTTAATAAATAAGATTATTCTGGATAATGAAAGCATTTTCAAAAAAGCACTTTAATCCAAAAAGATTGAACAAAAGGTAAAACTAGATATTAAAGTTTGAGGACAAACTTTATGGTGGCTTGAAAAGCCGAATCTGAAAGTTTTAAGTGGTTTTAAAGTGTAAATAGCATGTTAGTATGATTTTAGCTTGAGTTAACATATTA